CAGCGCGCATGCAGCGAGTGCGCGGCTCGAGAAGCGTGCACGCGAGACGGGCATGACAAGCCTCCTTGCGAAGGATGGACCGTTTTATGAATAGGCCGATCTCAGTCAGCGTTCGGCGCATGCGTGACGCCGCCATAACTTTAGTTCACAGGAGGCGGACGGCCGTGCCTTCTTGTGCTCCACAAGGGTAGAGCTCCAGCGGGGTGCTCTGCTCGCACGTGCAGAAAGGCCCTCGATGCATTGCGGCAGCATAGTCAAACTGGCTGGTGAAATTCTTCGACAGTCTTTGTAAGAACCATGTGTGCGTGCGAGCTGAGCGAAGCTTTCCCCTTCTGGGGAATGTTTCAGTCGAATGTAGTATATGCTCTCGCAATGAAAGCTCACGCCAAGTGCCTAACCACGTCGTCTGTTGAAGCGCGCATTCCTGACCTTACGATTGAACTGTAAAGGCAACGTCCCGGGTCTTGCTAACACGTGTGTGTGTCTTAATTGATTACGTAATAAGTTACAACAACGACAACAGCAATAAAAATGATAAAAAAAATCTACTTAAATTCACTTTACAATTCTGTCGGTTCGCATTCCAAAGCTTCCAAATGCGCAAAGCTTTCAGCATTTTAAAACAGCAGGCCATGCGAACATTTCTGCAAGGGTTAAAAGCAACACAGGTCATAAGAGCTGCTCACATCCGTTGATTTATCATGTAAAATAATGAGCAACAAAAGCGACCAATTTCGTTCTAAAAAAGGCCGAAGGTTGAAGCAGGAAATAAATCTGTGTGACACATTTCTCGAGGTTCGCTATTTGGCCAACCCAAAGAGCCATCCTGTGAACCCCCCTTACCTCTTTCATGTTATGCCTTGGTTATCACACTGACATTCCCCCCCCCCCCCCCCCTCAGAAAAAAAAAGAGCAAACGCGCGTTGTTATTTATAGACTACAACTCATATGATTCCAAAGGACACGCGTTTTCCGAATCCGTATACCGCGCTGTTCGCGTAATGCAAGTGACGTTGTTTTTTTTCATTTTTTTTTTTTTCAGGTATTTGCGTTAGGATGGAAAGCCGTAGTAACGGAACGCTTTTGTGGAACCCTAGAATTACCGTTTCCCATGTCAATGGTTACATTAATAATACGGCTAGGATCGGGTAAAAGGAAAACGGCATTGGGGAGTTCGGTCAACGTTCGATTCGACTCACGCGTGCGCTCGAATTCATGACCACGTCGCCACCATGGTCACGAGTCGCATGCTGCACGTGCTTCCCCCATTCTTTTTCGAGGAATTTATTCAGCACCAGACACTCCTTTGAAGCGTATAAATGACAATGATAATATATACGCGAGCTTGTCTTTAGTCGGGGGTAATGTCTGCTCCGTCCGTTTCTTTTCTCCTAAATATACGTGTATCGTAAAAACAACCTGTTCATTCACTTTTTTTTTTTTTGTAAATTTTTAATATTTACAAACATTATGATACAGAAGCAACGAATAGAAACGCGATACACAAAAGTCCGAAGGCCAGCTGTTCAGACAACGGGGTTCAAACACTGGTGTGAGTTTGTTTCGATGCCCGGTTCCTCGCTCACACGAATTTTGATAAAGCGGGAGTCACACTGGCTCATAAATCATACAAAAAGTCAGTCTGCAAAACACGAGTCACAGCAGTATCCGTGGTTCGAATGCCTCGAGCCAAGCTTTCTCCTCGAGCTCATTGTTAAGCGGCATTCTAAGCACGAATCTCGCGATGACTCGTTCATATCTGTATGCAGTCTGTCTTTTCTATAATCTATAAGTTATAAGAAGTGTGATCCCGGCTTCAGGCTTATTTCATCTTATTGCGAAACGCCACGGGTAAAATCACAGCCTCCTCTATTGGCGACGTGAGCGATCGAAAGCGTCGCTGTGGTCTGCCCACCACAATTGGCCGAATGCTGGCTATGACGTCAGAAAAGGATGTCTCAACGACGGAAATAAGAGTAATGTAAGAACTTCTATTTTGACGGTGTCGGCAGTGTTGCTTTGAGAGCGCTATGGCTTCAGACTTCCACCATGCACATTACAAACACCATGGAACTTGTTGTTCACAAGGTAGTGACGTCACGAAAGGTAACCGAACGAGGGCGCCACCGAAACATCTCGCCGCTAATACTGGCAAAGCCTGGCAGATCGCCACGCGAAGCGGCCGCCGAAATGGATAAGGTGGAGCGGCAGACAATGAATCAGAGGAGAGCCACGTGACTGGCGTCCCGCTGCGGCGAGACGCCGAAACACGCTTCCCCCGAGCGAATAAGCACTGGACGGACGGATCCGTTCGAACAGTTAGTAGAGACAAAGGCAGCTAGCTTCGTGTCTATCCACTAGTCGGTCCAACCAAAGCTCGGTGTTCCGACGTGCCCTGCGCGGTCTTGTCTCCTTTCTCCTCCAGTCTCGAGCGCGACCATTCTGCCTTTGTAACGCGCGGCCAAAGCCCCGCTCGAGGCAACGAGCACCTGCCGGAGACGGAGTGACTCCATGCAATGTCCCATGCAGGAGCTGCTGAGAGCGATCTCGAGCGCTCGCTACAGTGTAGCAGACGGAAGAGGCAGAAATGAGACCCTTTTCCAAAAAACGGGCTTGTAGTCGGTGCCATTTTCAGAGCTCGTGCGTACGGCGCTTGCTTTGCTCGCTTTCCGAAGTGTTGATCATGCGCGTGCTGAACTGTGATGTTCCCACGCTGGGCTGTGATTTTGTAAACATTGGAATAGTGTATAAGCCCCGCACTGTTGCGTCTTTCGGGTGCAAAATTCAGTGGCGTTTTTGTTCTTTAATCTAAACCTGCTTTCTTTTTTTTTTTTTTTTTTTTTGGTGTGTGTGTACGTTGAAATGTCGCGTTTCTTTGAAACGGCCCGTGGTGGTGTTTCCCTCGTATACGACTCGATGCTGCGTTTCTTGTAACCTCGATGGTGTTTTTTTTTTTTTTTTTTTTTCTTACACAATCTTCGGCTTCTACAGATAAATCATACGGTAAATAATTTACAGCCTTCTCCCGGCGGCTGCTGGGAACGAACAGCCTTATCGGCGGCACCGGGCGAAGTGCGATTGCGCGAGCTCTGCGGAAACAGCTCATCACAAACAGTTACGTTGACGAAACAAAGGAAAAACAAAAGTTTCACTGGAGAGCAAAGTCGTCGATGAGTCTCTTCCAGCGAAGGCCTATGCCGCTTTCACGCCCGCTGCGATTGCCAAACGAAGCTTCCACGCCGCGGAGTGCAGCCGCATGCCACACGATCCGACGCAGCCAATGAAGCAGTGCCAAATCTGCATCGTCACTGTGATCGTCGCCTCTGTGCGTTCGCTGTGGTGTGACACGGAGTCTACAGACCAACACAGTGCATGGAAACGAGCCTGCTTTGCCCAAAACAGGTGTGGGCACTGCGCGTGGGCATAAGAAACAATTTCGGGAGGAGGGAAGCGTCTGCGCATGCTCAGTACCGACAGCAGCGCCACCGCGCAGGGTGTGGCGTCAGTGAGTTGAGTCGGTCTACCGGGATATGTACAGATATAACCTCGCGTCGTGTACTGGCACCGAGGAGTGCTAAAAGAAGGTCAGAGGCTCGAAGAACACCGCGCTATCGTGGCACCGCGCGAGGTTGCTCAGGAAGAGATACGGTCCAAGTGCATTTGGCCATTGGCATGTAGGCTACCGACGCGAACGATAGCTATAGGATCTGTTTGCGTGCACCTAGAGGTACAGGTAAGATAAATTCGTCGATTGACAGCGATCAAAACGGAAATAAATAAGTGCATCATTTTCTCTGGCCTCGTGGCTTCCATGCTACGACCAAACTCAGACGAAAATTGAGAGGAAACCATTATATCGGGAATATAGATAGTTAGTACCAAGTGTTCACAGATGGCAGTTCCCGAGCTTGCCGTCATCTGACTAAAACGCTATAAATGCGATTTTCGGACATTTTCAACGGGAAAATGGTGGACGACAAAGCTCGCGAATGCAGGGAGATGAAGAGCGTCAGCTACCGAGAGCGGGCCCCATTTTCCCAATAAAATAAGAAAATCACTTATAACTTTCCTTTAAATAAAATAGAATGACGCGTGCTTCTGAAACTTCGACATCTGGTCCGGACCCTTAACGCTATAAAATAACTTTTTCCTTTTTTTAGAGGGGGAGTGGGTGGGGTACAGAAAAGACATTGGGGGGACGCCCCCTCCGAAGATCTCTGGACTCCACAGGACAGTTCCGACGAATTAAGGGACACCCCCCCCCCCCCCCCCCCCGTTGGGCACCCCGAGATTTCCTATAAGTCATGGCAAATGCTGCGGCAACCGCAGAAGCGTTGGTACCTTTCCGCACGAACTTCTATCTCGGATGCAGTATGCGCCGACACAGAAATTAGGCGAACGGCACGCGGCTATTACGACGGTGAACGCTGTATGGACCGCGATCCGTTATTCATTTATGCAAGACGCTTTCTCGTTTTCTCGCAGCAATAATAAGGCTGCAGGCTATTACGACGAATGCACCATGATGGGAATTTGGAAAATGACTCGAGCATAATTATATTATTAATAAAATAATAATAAAATCAACAACTTAAAATGAATAGTTTTTTTATTTTCTTTTTTTACGGGAAGGAACGTGTTAATAAAGGTACCGTTCAAAGCTGAAGGGGGAACAAAAAAGACGGAGGAAATAAGGTTTGCTCGTTTTATTTCGACAACATTTACCCGTGCATTCCACTCAGTGTCGGTACATTTTAGCGATGCTAACATATGTCCGAGTGGAATCCGCGAGCGGTTAAAAAAATAAACAATTAGATGACTCGGTCGGCGTGACAATTGGCAAACGTAGAATTATTTTTCAAGTGAGCACGGCGCTTGAGAGACAGACCACAAGATAAGTGCCGGCAACTTTTCGCGAGTTGAATCGAACGCGCGAAAGAGCACACGCCCCCCACCCGAAAAAAAAAAACAAATATGCGAGCGGAGAGCTCTCCACTCACTGGTTCGTGTTGTCGACTTGCCACCGCTCCGTGTACCGCTAACAAATCCGAATCCCGGGGCTCTGTATCCTCCGTGCACCTGTTGCACACGCGACAGACGTCCGCACACTCCAACGTCCCGAAGCTAGGAACAGTTATCGCCCAACGCACTCCGGCGCAAGCCGGTCGGGAACCTAGTTACGTCGTCGCTCGCCAGGGCCGCCACCGTCGCAAAAACTAAATACAAAAAAACATAAAGAGTTTTTTTTTGTGTGTGTATCTCCTTTTCTTTTACCCCTTCCACCCCCTCGCCTACCGACTACTCTCCCTTCTTTCTCTCGTGTCTCGTTGCACGCATTTTATTCTGCACGGCTGGTGCTGTGCGGCGTATCGCGTTTGTAGTGTGGGGGGAGATGACTGTCGTTGATTTGCGTTAAACCGTCCGACGATGCAACCGAACAAGACCATGAAGGCAATCTTCAAGGAGGTTGTCGAGGGCCAACGAACCCAGATTCTAGTCGAACACGACGTGAGTTGAGTTTGGTTCAGTTAAATGCCTTTGGACGTTTGCATGAACGCGATGTCGCGATTTTAAACGTCACCGTAACCCGTCCCCCTTTGAGCACACCTCTTAAAAACGGTTTTCGGTGGACCGTTTCTGGCATGCAGCTGAGGTAGCGTTAAAGCAAAACTGCGGCATTCGACGATGTGTTGGTGCAACTGTGCGGGCGGCTGAGTATGATCTGACTTGTCGCGAATTGCTTCGTTAATAATCGCTGTCGAGGCTTTTTAATCGCCGTTAATGTCCACTGGACGTCGTGTACTGTCCTTCGAGGTTCGTGCCGGTGCAGTGGTTATCTTTTGGGGACCGTGGAAACTAAATATCTTAAATGTGCGTCGCGAGAGGCGGAAAAATCGATACGACTCCGTACGTGTATACTTGCTCCGAGGTCGTGCACATGTGGGAGATCGTCGATCCAACAACAACGCTGCTGACGCAACTCACTAAAAAAAAAATAAAAAAAAAAGTAGAGGCGCATTAAAGGTTGCCAACTGTTTCGCTTGCTCGCTGTCGAGATGTGAGGTATCAGCGATATTTGGGTTTCGCAACGGCCGAAGGTCATTTGGCCTTCTGGGGATATATCTGGGCTGTATTCTTTCAAGCTCCAATTGTCAACAATTTGACTTATTTTTTTTATTATTTATTTAGGTCGGTGTACCGCCTGTGGACAAATACTCGGTGCTGATAAATGTGAAAGCATGTGCCATTTCCAGGACTGATGACAAGGTGAGTTTCAGGCATGGTTTCTGTACTGCTTTTTTTTTTTTTTTTTTTTGGGGGGGGGGGGGGGGGGGATTGTAACTGATGGCAGCACTGTCTCATTGTGAAAACCATGCCACAGTGGGTAGCTTTGCAATCTGGCATTGGTACCGTAAAAAAGTAACTGTCTGCGTCATTGTGGACCAAGTAATGCCATTGCATACCCAATCATTTGCACCTTTAAGTAGAAAACAAAAAGCACAGCCATCACATGTTTTTCAGGTTCTCAAGCTGCTTTATAAGGAGAAGTCAAAGACCAAGTACCCAGTGTGCTATGAGATTGCAGGTGTTGTGGTGGAAGTCGGTGATTGGGTGATGTCTGTCAACCCTGGAGACGGAGTTGTCGGTATGATTCGCTTGGTCTTCAGTAACGACCTAAAGCAGGCGTGGATATGAGATTCCTGTTCTCTTGCTGCAGGCTTGATTCCACTGGATTATGATCAGTCCGGATGTGCCGACTATGTCTGCCTGAACGAATATGACATCGGTGAGTACAGAACCCATTTGAGCACATCAAGATATGTGAAAGCATAGGTAGAGTCTACATTTACGTCAAGTCAATAAAGTCGAAATTATGACATACACGCAACAATGTCTGCATAAGGATGTTGTGTGCTTGTTATTTTTTTGTTTGTCTTTCAGGTAGTGGCGTCGGAACAGGTGGAGCAGGATGAAGTCACTGGATCTAGGAAACTATACTGCCATTGCCTTCCCACCTGCTAGCCGGACACAAACAAATACAAAACATACAGACGACAAAGCCTCTCAAGGTGATTGACTGATCGCTCTCAGTTGCCATAGTGATCACCATTTTGGGCCTTTCAATTCTTTGAAGCTTCGAAAGGGTCGTTCCAACCAGTCGCACCAAGATTGCTATGGAGCATCATCATGCTGAAAGCGTTCTTCGGCCAATATAAGTGGCTTTGGCGCTGTGCATGCAATAAACTTATCACTCATGCTTATTTCCCCAGGCCTTTACAATTATGTTGCTCTTCTTGCGTATTTCAAGACGGGAAAATTATTTTTCAATGCCTCCAAGCACTGACGCCACACGGGATGGCGTACATCTTCGTACCGCCATCACATACAAGGTCTGTGCTTGGAGGTATTGAAAAATAATTTTACTGTCTTGAAATATCCAAGAAGAGCAACATGATAGTAAGAGATCTGGGGAGATAAGCATGAGCATGGAGCGTCATCATACTTTCAGTACGATGACGCTCCATGGCGATCTTGGTACAACTAGTTGGAATGACCTTTTCGAAGATTTGAAACGATCGCCATGGCAACCGAGACCGATCAGCCAATCACCTTGAGAAGTTTTGTCATCTGAATGTTGGTATTTGTTTGTTTCCGGCTAGCAACCAGGAAGGCAATGGCGCCACGTTCCCAGATCCAGTGACTTTAGGGCAGGAGGAAGAAAATCGCTTTCAACCCCCACCACTGTCACCCTCCCATCTACCGAATAATTCCGACGCCTGTCTGGACTTGATTTACCAGCTTGCCTGTATTTCTACATTTTATTCAAACATAATAATATAGCATGCTTCAGAACTCGGCTTCTCACATCCAAGCATGCCCAAACATTCAAATGTAACATCCTTACTGTGGCAGCAAATGTGTTCTTCTATCCAGCCTCTTCGGGAATTTAAAGGGGCCCTCCGGAGCTTTCTGCAATCGTCTGTTTATGTTGTTATATTGCGTAGTAGGTGCAAGTTAATATGTATACAAAGTTTTAGATTACAAAACCGTTTATTAAGCAGATGGCAGAAGAAATATATCGGGACTATTTTCTCTTGGAAGACGATCCCCCATTCCCTGCCCATCGCTAAAACTTGACCAATGGAAATGCTGCATCTCACGGTGAATGCGAACATTATTATTGCAACACTTTTTAAGCTTGTTGTAAATTAGAGTTTGAGAAAAACGTAAACTGATTGTGGTGCGGGAAACATAGTCCGGAATTATCGCTCCAAAACCAGCGAACTATGTTTTCTCCCTGCAAGCTTGTTGCTAGGGGGTGATGCGTCGGCGCGTCGGCTCGTCTGCTTCCCGGGGCGAGGCGTGCGTTTGCGGGACACATGTTCCTTCTTCCCGTGGATCCCGACTCCGAAGCCAGCTTTGCGATCCTTCCACGTCAACGAGTCAAACTTTTCCTTGTCATCTGTGGAATGCGACTGCGTATTGCAGTAGCAGCGCGACGGTGCGGTGCGACGAACGACGACTGCCGAGCACAAAGTCCGGGTTCCTTGACGACGGTTCGCGCGTGCTCGAGAGATTCCTCCGCGGATCGGCAGTTGGCCGCGTTGGTGACGCACAGTGATGCCGAAATTCTTCGCTTGCTATTGGCTGACGCGTAAAGAGATGCCCCTCCCTTTTTCCGGGGTCATCTCGGAAAGGGGGGCGTGCCGGTGACTTTGATAGCAATTTTAGTAGGGAAATCCGCCGCGCATGACCGTAATTTTATTATTTTTAGGATCCTTAGGGCCTGTAGATTGAGTTACCACCATAAATAGACCATCGCAGAACGCTCCGGAGGGCCCCTTTAAACTAAAAGTTGTGCAGAGTAGTTGGTGATGGTGCAACATTGCTGTGTTTTGGTAATCTATCCAACACTGTTGCTACCAACTGGAATCGGAGCATGGTACCTTGTTTTTCAGCCAAGAAGCCCGACAATGTGAGCTTTGTCGACGCAGCAGGCTGCATTGGCGACGCTGTAAGAGCTTACACAGGGCTGCACTACCTGGGTCGCATGACCAGCGGCGACACTGTCCTGGTGATGGATGGCGCTTCATCCTTTGGTGCTATTGCTGTGCAGTTGGCTCATCACTGGGGTGCAAAGGTATGCAAGATTAAAAAGAAAATATAAAAGCGCTGAAAGCAACAAGGACCAAGATGTAAGACAATGCAAGGCGCCTTGTGCTATCTTACTTCTTGGTCCTTGCTGTTTTCAGCGATTTTAAATTTTTTAAATATGAACCAACTAGCCCGATTAGTCACTTTGCTGCAGTACGCAAGAGTTCACCATTTATTTTAAGTCTTGCTTTGCCTGGTTCTAGTAGCTTTTCGTACATAACATGACTTATTGTGAAGGGAAAATAGTCTCCTCTAAATGCCCCTGTAATGGGTAACTGGAACTCGTCAAACTACGACATTACGGCTGTTTTTACAAGTAGATTTTCATCTTGTTTGCATGTAGTACGGTGTAAGAATCTCATTCTTCGTTGGCTGACTTGAGCAAAATTCATTCAAGCTTAATAAGTATTCATTTCGACACAAGTATGTGCTCCAAAGGTAGTTTTCCTGCTGCAAACCAGGGGCCCTGTGTAGAAGTACAGATATCCATATTTACCTGACTGCCATCTTAGTGGGTTTTGCTGTGTCTAATCTCATTACTACATTTTATTAGTGACAGTTTTTTGTCCCATCTTCTCATATCTAATTATTATATTTAGTATCACCAAGTTTAGAAATTATGTAAGTAAGAGTGCTTTCGCATCTGTAGTTTTTGTGTTCGACTACCCAATTGCTCTTCTGCAAGAATTCTGTCAGATAAGTGCATACAAAAAACAAAAAAAATTATGAGATTTTTTGTTTTTGAGATGAGACCTCATGAGATAAGTAGGCTGCAGGCGTGGGAAGTTTGTAGATAAGTTATTGATAGGGCATTGTTTCCAGGGTGATCTTCGACTTCACTGATGTAATTCCCCAAACTAAAGGGATTCTACAACGAAAATTTGGCGCTTATTTTTTGGTCTATATGTAATGTATTCAAAGGAGCAGTATCACATCGAACATACCAATATCTTGTCAAAAAGGTCACGAAAAAGAATTTTAGAACAAATTAAACGATTAGCAAAGAGCACCTGTTGGATGTCGCTAACGCCTCATTTGTAATACCCGTCTAGGAACCTTGAGAGGTAGTGACGGTAACTGTCTTGCCTCCGGCGACGACGGGAGAAGGAAGGAAGGAGGAACTCCCCTCTTCCCGAGAATCCCTTTTGTGTGACCCAGAAGTCGCTATTGTCCCTCTACAAGATTATAGAAGATTAACCCGTCACTCAAAATTCGTACAAAAGCAGCTGCTTCGGTGGCTGGAACAACTAGGCCATCCTCTTGACGTCAGCCTCGCCATAGGTTTGCTCGTCCTGAGACGAACTGCGTCAAGATTGCGTTGGATATCACGTGGTCTCCGCTGGCTGTTCTCCGAGCGCTTGCCAAAGTGGGCCATTTATAACGAAAAATACAGCCACCAGGCTCAAAATACAGACGTGCGATTGTCATTTACGGATATTGTGGATCATATTCAACCTATTTTTGAACATGTTGGGTATATTTAAAATAACATGACGGGTATATTTAAAATTTCGTTGAAGTATCCCTTTAAGTCTAGGCCCAATATTTTTGAATGAATAAAGTTGGCATGTGTAATATATCCACTGAGCGTTAGAAGTTGTTTTTGTTAAATTCTGAATAAGGTACTAAAAAACCAAACAAGTTCCAGTGCATCTTGTATCAGCAACTGCAAGTAAGGGTCACGATTGTAAATAATAAAAGAAATTGCACAAACAAAAGTAAGTACTTCTATTGTACCAGTTGTCATATGAATGAATTCTGTATTTCGGAGTTATTTTCGAATATTTGCTGCACGTCGTCACTGTAGTGTCGCCATTTTTTTATATTGTATGTTTTTCTAATGCTTATATATGTTTTCATTGCTTCTACTGAAGTCCAAGGGCGATGTTATGTTACATCAAGATAAATACTGACATTGCTAACTCTTCTATAGTCGGTTACAAGTCAAGAAGGTAGGAGAAGCTCCTCTCACAAGCGTGATGCGTTCGTTTGAAATCCCTCTGCAGTCGAAAGAAAAGTTCACTGGAAACGCTCCTTGTTCCGCTTCAATGGAGAGATAATGGCCACAGAGTGGTGCCCACTTGTCTTTGACTCCCACTTTTTAAGAAAGTGACCTTCGTATTCATCGGAAGGGGAACCGAGCCCCTGAAAGCAGCCTTTGTATCCATCGGAGGGGGAACCTTATTTCCGAAAGTCATATTTGTTTCCATTGGAGGGTGAAACTCTAATCACCCTCTTGTGGCTTCCACAATGCTAAGTCAAAGTCCCATTGTATCCGCGACGTCACGGATACAATGGGACGCTATTGGTTGCGGAGGTGGTGGAGGGATATATGATTCCCTTTAAGGGGCATTTGCTGCTACCTTCTTAACCTGTAACTTACTATAGAGTCCGTGAAATTTTATGACATGAGATAAATTTACGTGAAGCGATACCCTATTTTTACCTTTGATCTGCAAAAAGATAAATGTGAAGCCTGGAAACCAACCTTTAGACCAAAACGATGCAGGTGATCACAACTGTGAGTTCTGCCGACGAAGCACTCTACCTGGAAGGCTTGAGGGGCCAGGTGGCTAAGGTGATTGACTTGAGCAAGACAGACAACTCCACGGACTTCATCACCAACTACACTGTGCTGGGAAACAATAACAACAACAACAACGTTGGCAGCGGCAAAGCTGCCCTGGTGCCAGCTTGCATGCAGGTGAGACCCAAATGCTGCTGCCAAAAGCCACCCACTGTCTCATCTGTCTGCTGATAATGCCGACAGTTGGTTGGGAATGTGCTGGGGTTCCTTTCTCTTTAATCTATTTATTCAGGATACCCCTAAAGGAGGCCCTTCGGTATTAGATAAGGAGGTTGGGGGGGGAAGTACATGCTTGTAGATGTTTTCTGCTTGGCAGCGATAAGCGTTTTATTATGTTTCTTTGGTTCTTAAGAATTTTGATAAGTTAAAAAGAGTGTTATCCGTGAACGAAAATAGAATGCCACGCCTATTATGCATACATATCTTTTTGTGGTTGGTGTAGTGAATCAATGCGGTAGGGGGTAATCTTGCGAGGTGCTCGAATAATTAATAAGCTGAAGATGCCCCGAGTGACTTCCGATTCATTAGTTGATATTCCCGACTTTATCTTTGTTTGAAATAATCTGAAAACGGGAGTTTGCTACTGGTGGTTCATGGGAAATCAATAGTACCTAAGATTTGAGGCACAAAGCATTGATACTAAGTTTGACTGTCTATTTACGAGTGCAGCAAATATTAATTTATTTGCAGATGTCTACAAACAGTGAAATGTCCAAAGGTAGAAATGTTGTCACCAGAAGTTGAAAGAAAGTTCTGGCCTGATAAGAAAAGAAAGCTAAAGATGCAGTGTGTTTCGAAGGAAAACTATGAGCAGCAGAGCTTAATAATAGGAGTGCACTGACATCACCTTTGACAGCCATGTGCAGGAACATTGTGTCACACATCTGTCCTTTATCACAAAGGACATACGAATGCAATAGTCTCTTCTGCTCAAAACATACACTGTAGAATGCCAGCAATGGCAGTGGAAGTTCCACGCTGATGAGGTTTACAATAACGAGGCGAAACTCCGGGCCCATGTAAATAGCAGTCTAGATTAATTACCCTAATATCAGTGGAAGGATTCGAAACATGTTCAGACCTTTTTTTCACGGAACCGATGGACAGTAGCTACCAAGCTGAGACGCCACGTCGATTCGCTTGTTTTGCAGGAGACGGGGGGCTTGGGTGTCGATCTGGTGTTCGACAACGGAGTCACTCAGTTTGCCGAAACAAGCTACCACATCATCCCAGAGGAGACCTACTCGCACCCAGTGCCCAGCAAACACGACATTGTGTCGTGCCTCGCGGTGGGCGGCCGCTGGATCACGTCCAAGAGCGACCTGCAGGTCAGTCCACGCTTACGGTACGGTGCCTGGAGCTCGTCTTCGACTGGTCTGTTCTCCACACACCCAAAAGTGGTTCCTACATGTCTGCTCGACGCTGCCGTACAAGCGTCGTGCTGTGGCTTGCCATGATCCGGGCAGCGGCACGGCATTGGAGGTGAATGTGGCAGACGTCTGTTCTGCTGCAGGCTGCTTGACGGTTCATGGGAGTTTCGTCGGCCAGGACTTGGGACGCGATGATGACGGCGACGCCACTTGTTGCCAGTTTAGGACTGCTTTCGATGCATGGGCGTCAAAGAATGATAAACGTACCAGTTGGAGACACGTTTCAGGCACCTTGCTTTTGGCTCGCTCGCAGTCTCTGTCGAGGAGAATGTGTACTACCCTTGAGGGTGTTCGTCGTCTTGTGCTGACACGTGTAGGGTGTTCCACATAAGACAGAAATTAATTTAAGTAAAAAGGGCACTTGAAATGACAAAAAAATTATTCCGTCGGGAGAAGGTTACTGACTGCGGCGGGCGAGGGTACGAGCGTAAAGCGATAATTTCTAACCTAATTATTTAAAGTGCAACTCCGGTCCATACTTTCGGTTTTGGGATTATGACTGTTTTTAGTGCAGTCAGCGTCCCTGAATTGCAAGGTGTAATTTTTTTCTCGTTATTGTGCTTAGTTTTGAAGATATTGACGCCTCAAAGTTATGTTTGGGACGCGGCCAACAAAACCGAAACTAGCCGCTCGAGGCCCCGGCAACACTGGAAATCAGCTGCTATGTGAACGTGACGTCAGGATCGTTCTTGTTCAACGAGTAGGCAGGCCGAGCGGCACCTACTTCTCTAGCGCTAGCCGTCTAAAGATAGGAGGTAAGCTGATTTTGTTTTAATTCTGTATACGTGGTAGTTATCCAGCATATGTAGCAAGAGTTAGTGTGTATACCCAAGAGCTGGCGACTGGAAAACCCGTGAACTTGTACGGTGCCGTACTCGGCGGCCACCGCCGTGTGTGCGGTCTTCCGTACTCGTCACTAGGCCTAAATTGTCATCGGGGCTCCATGGATGGAACGGCGTTGCTTTACACCGCGCTGCCAGTGACGTACAGTACTGGGGGCCCTCTAGCTTTCGCGCTGCGGGTCAGTCCCAGACACGAAGCTTTGAGGCTCTCCGGCGCGGGCTGCGGTGCCTGAGCACACGTGTGCTGGGTTGTACACATCTGTCTTTTTCGTTCTTTTTTCCTCGGGCGCGTAAAAGCCGAAGTCCAAAGTCTACTCGTCGAACAGCGTTCACCCACACCTTCTTCAATTTCTGGTCCATTGGAAACTTGTGAAAAAGCACCTCCGGGTTGCGCAGCGGGTTGTTTGAGCACCCCACAGTGCTACAAGTTGCACTCGGAATCTTTCGAGGAACAGCTGGGCAGTCTTGGGCGCACCGAGTTGCTCGCTAAACCGAGTTTTGGAGTCCTCACAAGCAAATAAACAAAAGGCTATACCGAAGCTACATGGCCTACAGATAAAAGTAACGGCTAAACACGGCAATCACAAGCCGAAGTAGCGGTGGTAGCGGCTCTAAGAAGCGCACTCCACGCAATGCCCGGACCAGAGGAAAAAAAGAGAACGATACTGACGTCACGGCCCAATGTTGCTTTAGCGATCGGCAACCCGCTGGCCGCCTGCTAAGGAGCAGCGGCTCGCGGCGGGTCGCATTTTTATTATTGGCATTAGTTGAGAATGGGGCGTCCCACAGATGTAATATTTTTGCTGGGGTCATATTTTGTGTCACTACAGTGATACCAGTAATTTATTTCATTTTGAGTTTTGGCCACAGTTGCCCTTTAAAATGGACTTGTACTTGGCTTTTTACATTTTCTCCTTAGCTGGCACGTTCCAATTGGAGATCCGTTGCCCGTCATCAAAATATGTCGTAGCAGTTGTTATTAATTGCGCAACTATATTTCGCTTTGCGCTATTTTCTGACAAATTTAATCCACGAGGAGACGGAGGCATTGAAACTAAGGTGCAAAAAAGCAATAGAAGTCCCACCCAGAACTGATGCAGCCTCTACCATAGGTGCAATAGCGGGTCATTGTGAATTAACCTGGCTGTGGCACATTATTCAAGGGCTGTATAGTTGTTGAAAAGACGCACTGCACTTGTCTCCTCGGACACTGAGCTTTTGGCACTTTCTTTTACTACTATTAGTTTTGGTAAAGCAGACTTTAAACAGCCTCTCTTTGCCGCTGAACAGTGCAGAGCAGAGTATAGTTTTGCGAATTCTGCCCCGAAGTAATCACATACTGTTTTCCGTCAAACACCATTCAGCAATATAATTGGAATGAGTGGTTTGACGGTGCAAAACATTGGCTGGAAAAATTATTTGGAAAACTGTTTTCCCCAAATAAAATTCCAAAATAATTTTTTTTTTTAAAGGGCAAGTAGTACAGGGCACCCATTCCACCTGGTTTGCAACATCTGCAAGCTTCGTTGGTGTAGTGGCGTGTTCAGAGTACCATTTGTGTGTATGCAGTCGATGCATGGCAGCAGACAATGTGAACATGAATGCCTTGTAGCCGCAAAGCGTGCAAAGGCTGCGCCTGGTTTTGATTTGCAGCTGAAGTTAAAGTTTGAAGCCTAAAGTTATGCAATGCTTCTGTAGAAAAAGTACCACCCTGAACTTTATCATGAAGCCAAGCAACTTTGGAACATGGTCGAGGCACACAGAAGGTTGCCTGTCTGTTCACTGCTCACACTTCTGTTGTCCCCAAATGCACCATCAAAATCGACGCATTCGCACTGGGGCCTTGTCCCCAGCAGAAGATATACCCTGCTCCCCTCTCTTCCTGCAAAGAAAAAGCTGTCACCAGGGGCGGATGCAGGAATTTCCTGAGGGGGGTGTCGGGTGTTGGTCAGCGTACCATATGTTTAGGAACCCCCACCCCCTCTCCCTTGTTTTACGCCCTAAATTTTACACATGTAAAAATGAAGAGGGAAGTGAAGACATCCGGACCGCCCCTTTAAATCCGCCCCTGGCTGTCACCCAGTGAGATCTCATTCACTATTGTCTGTGGTGTATTCATCAAAGTAGCAAAGAGTAAGATGACATTGTTTTCAGGCTAAATTTGGCATTGATTTTTTCTTCTTACAGTTGGACCCTCCACACTCCCAGATGATGTTTATGAAGTGTGCCTCTCTGGGATTTTTGTTTGAACATGCCTGGACCCTGTCTTCAACTCAGCAGGGGCGCTATCTGCGTATCCTTTGGCTTTGCGAAAGTTTGGTACACTGCTTACAGTGCTAAGCTTCTGCATATTTGTGGACACCACTGCTAGAGGCTCAGTGGTGATTAGATCTAGCTTGAGGAATGTCAAATGGCTTTAGGTAGTTAGTTGCATGTTGACACTTTGCTAAAAAAATTGCATATGATGCTGGTAGTCAGCAGGCCATTGGCAATTGTTTAAAATGTCGGAACATGTTCGCTGGAGTCAGCATGGCATTTAGTGGCAACCTAGGATGCCAAAAGTGTATGAAAATGTCCTAATTTATGTATTAATATAAAGCTTACATAAATATCCTATTTATTAATTTTATTACCTATATCGCTTGGTGGCATTCAAGTGTGAACTCTGGAGGTTATTTAGTTATTTTTGTTAAAAGAGTTGAAAACTGGGATCGAGCCTTTATTTCGCATTGCCCGCAACATTACCATGGCCCAGGAGCAGACGCAGGTATTTCCAGAGGGGAGGGTCAGGTGTTTTTCAGCGTATCATATGTTTTGGACCCCCCCTTCCCATTACCAAGCCCTAAATTTTTGCACATGAAGAATTCAAGAGGGGGGTCAGGGCATCCAAACCCCTTCCCTCTGAATCCGCCACTGCCATGGCCATTTACAACAAAGAGTTTTATAGTCCATCTCTCAATCCATATGTAGCTTTATCAAAGACACGGGCCCATGAGTGTAAGTGCACACAATTGTCCACCTTATTTCCACAAGCGCTCAAGCAAGGGAAGCACATGCACATGCTGAAATACAAGTAATGTGCCAATCTTAACGATATAAAGTGGCACTTAAAGGGGCCGTGCAACAATGTTTGGACTTCTGTCAAATAATTCTGGTAGTTGCTCCCTGTCACGTCTGGATTAGAGAACTGAATTTGTCTGCACGCATTAGTTGTTAAAAAAAAAAATGTCAAACAAGGCCACTTTCAACTCTTACGCCGTCTTTCGAGTCTCGTGCTCAGTGACGCGCAATGGAAACTCGGAGAATCCGATTGGGTTCTCTTTCAAAGTATCCAGCGCGCGGCCTCTGCTTGCAATTGACATGATGACCTTGAAGGTGGTTTGAGTGATGTCGAGAGAGGGGGCCGTGGACGGGGGGTGAAGCACGACCTTTGTTGTAAGGAACTTGGACTGACGTTGTAGCATGGGATGAGGCTCACGGGAGAAATTGATTTTTTTTTTTACCACGGGCAGATTGCACCACTAAAACTGAATATAGTACAACTTTGTCGATGATATGAGGTTTTTGATGCTTTTACTCATGTTGAAACAACATTATAAAATATAGCATAATATTGAGCACATAATGACACATTTTGCCAACTTATAACAATGCCCCAGGAGTGTGTCGTGCCTTAGTTCCCATGGCCACAACCCCGCGGCTGCAAATCGCGAAATATTCGCGTTCTTTGCTTTGCTATTACTCAACGGAATTGGAATATTTCAAAAGAACGAGGCTGTTTCTCTATCCCTTTTGGTAAGATAAACAATGTAAAAATTAGAAACTGCAAATCATTTCGAAGTTAAAATTGTTGCATCGCTCATTCAAGCAATTCATTATTAGCCTTAAAAAAAAAAAAAGAAAACTTGTGAAGTGGCTTTGGGCCTTATTTTGTCAGCCACAAAGTTTTCTAGCGTACTTCCTCTTGACTATTGAATAAACAACTAACAGATATCCTGATGGACATCATGGAAAAAGTGTCGAGCGGCGTCATCAGGTATGCGATAAACATAGCGAGATAGCTCTCACTTGAAGCAGACCTGATTCAAGTACTTTGTTTTCTGTTGCAGGCCCAACATACACCACACCGTTTCATTTGAAGCTGTACCAGAGGCATTTCAGAAGCTCCCCGAGGAAAGAGTGGGCAAGGTTGTGATGAAAATGAAGTGAACAAACTTTTCGACATTTTGTCATTCCGAGGTTGTACCACTATGCTTCCAAGTGCTCTCAAATTTTTCTAGTCTCATAGCGGCTTTCTATAGCATTTCCTTGGACATTATCGACAATTAATCTCATCAGTTACAGCTTTCAACTTCGCTTGTTTTGTTAAGTGGATTGAACCTGTTGTGCAAACTTTACGACGGTCACTGTTACAAGCAGCACTGTTGCTGTTGGGATAGGAATGTTCCATAAGCCACAGCATCAGACCTCGAGTCTTTGCTACATTTCTGTGAATTCATTGCCCAGGCAACTTTGAATGTACAGCATGCTGGCTAAGTGCACACCTTCACTTGCTCACTAGTCTTCTGTGTTAGGGATGCCATTGTAGTAGTCATCATTACACTAAAGTGGACCTCCTACCCTAATATGGAGCCTATGCTTGAAAGGCTTCTTAAAAGACATCTGTTGTCTCGCAATGTCTTCTTTTTATGGTGCTCATGGTATGTGCTGCATACAAGTCATGTAGGCATGAGCTAATGTGCAAAGTCAGTGCTGGTTGATGAAAGCTAAATGATATACCTTGAATGCTTACAAGTGTGATACAGGTAAAGGGCAAGAAGGATGTGTCCCTCAAAGATGAAAATGGCAGCTGAAGTGCAGCGTAAAGAAAAGAACAGCTCTTCTATGACTGCTGAATGACCGAGATTAGTTTCTTTAAGTTTTTGCATGCAAGTACAAATACTTGCATTCAATGCAAGTACCTGTAAAAATGCTAAATATGACAGGCCAATTTGACGGTGTTTCACTTGACAAATCTGGAGATAACTGCAAGATAGCTTGTGTCAGCCTGGATAAGGCTGAACCTGGGTCAAGTGACATATTGGAAATGGATTAATGCAAAGCTAAATATCAGAACTAAGAGCATTTAGTGCCTGTTCATTGTGCAATGTCCAGTAAGTTCGGAGCAATTCATTAAAGTAAGTCTTGAGTCTAAACAGTGGCATGTACTTCTCTCAACCAGTATGCTTTGTGTTGAATGTTCATAAATTGCAGTATTTCCCTCCCATCATTTTGAGGGATATAAACATCCTTGCCCCTTGATATTGGTTGTGCCAACACCATTTTGCAAGGCCCAGTTTTTAGTAAAAGGCCATCACAGATATATTTCAATCGATGAAGTGCATACATTCCAAACCTGGAATATGTGAGTTGTAACCTAAAAAATTTCAATTAAAACTTTTCTCTGCAACCTGTCACTGTGCTACCCACAGGCTGCTGCATAACCAATTGCTTTAACTAATAGCAAGCTAGCTATGCCAAGATATTCAGCAATAATTTTGTCTTTTGGACATACTTAGCACTTTTGTGCTCCCTTATCACATTTCGTAGCTGAGTACCTCTACGCTACTTAGCCTAGAGTCGTTTATAAACTCCCTCACACGGGAGTGGTTGTTACATACAGAGGGCATGTTTCTTCTGCATGTCTGCTTTGTGAAAAGGTTTTATGTGATACACACATTGTGCTGATGTACTGTGCATTTTGTAAATGTCAAAAATGAACTTCTATCATGCATATCCGTCACATTAGGGAGCTACTCATGCTCGGGCAATTTTTATTTAGACTAAGTTAGCAGTATCAAGCTATTATTGGAGAAATGTTCATAACCACATTCCTAATGCTGTTATGCCCGTTGCAGCTTACATTGTACTCCCAAGCGATAGCATCGGTATTCAATCCTTTCTGTGATCAAGGCAAGCCTGACCTATCTACTGACCTGTGCTATCTTTATGCTTTCTAAAAGGCTAAGAGCCAAGCTGCATTTGGTGTGTGAGCATATGCAGCGACATTGAAGAGAGCTAAAACCTCCCAATAATTTTAGAGTGGTAAATGGCACAGAAAAGGGTGTGGTCACTTGGCTTAAAGGGGCCCTGCAACAACTTTTTGACTGGTTTTTAATTTACACCGAACCTGAGCGCACTGAACGTAGTAACTTAGAGAAATTTTTCTTTTCTCGAATTTCGCTTTATTTTAGAAGTTATAGGCAAATTAGAGTTACAAAAACAAGCAAAAAATAACATCCTTCATGACGTCGTAGGTCCTGGCTTGAGTGGCCGTGAACTAGAGGAGTAGTAGTGAGCTCATTGAGCGCTCACGGCTGCCGCACTCCGTGTCGATGGCTCGAGAGGGCGCCACTAAAGCACATGTTGGATAGGCTGTATGAAGTGAGCGGCCAGGGCGGCTCGCATTGCTTTTGCTGCAAGGTTAAATACTAATTCAGCATAACACTTCATTGGCCACAAACGACAGCAAACATGGGGTAAAGATCAGTTCAGAACGCGAGCCACTTTGCGCTGCCATACCGCCAAATTGCCAGCCAAGCCCGCGCCAAAAGCCTTCGCAGCGCTCGGAACCGGTCGGATTCTCGAGCCGGTATATGACCGCAGCCCCGCCGCGTACATCCGGGACCTTTCTACGCTCGCCATTCGTTGGCACCTCATCCCACTAGCCCTTTCTAGTATGCGCCGGTTTTTCCGCTGCTTGGTGGCGGGTTTGTCGACGGGTCTTTTCTTGTCTCCATACTTTATAAACTGTATTTGTTTCTTTTCTGATATAAAATACTGAACAAAAGCTACTTTTATAAAAAATTTAAACGATTCGTGCCACTTATATTTTGCATCTCGACTAAAAAAAAAAAAAAAAAAGCTTTTAGCGGCTTTGATTAGTAATGAGCCCAGGACCAAAGACGTCACATATTGCGCGCTTTCGGCAATGCGGTTCGCCCTCGTCGGTGGAGGAGGTTTCAGCGTCGTCTGGTTAAAAATATGGCGCACTGATATTTAGTTACTCTCTCCATGCCTGCTGGCTTGCCCGAACCCAAAGAGACGTGGAAACCGCAAAAAAGGTAGACGCTTAAATATGATTGCAGGGCCCCTTTAACAGCTAGTATTGTCAGTCTGTCACATTTCAAATTCAAGTCCCAGAGTGCAACTTGCATCGGTGATTAAACATCCAGGAATGTGCCAACAAGTACCGACGCTACTGGTACCCGCTAAAGGTTTGAGAGGGCAACTCCGCAGAAATATAATACGTATTTGCAGGAGGACGGCTTCAAAATAATCTGCATTTAAACAACTTTTTAGGGCTCGTCAACTATGTAAATGTTCACTTCTTTACTGGACTCTTTGAAACCAGTTCTCACAGCCATCCATTACCTCATACCTTTTGGAAGGGCAGATTATATATTGTATGCTCACTATTCTCAAATTTAGGTGTGCAAAGCATACACACCTAGAGAACAGTGTGAAAATGTATTGCTTCCACTGGGCCCTTTTAACTAGATCCAACGTTACTAAAACACTCAGTCGGGAAACTAGCGACAAATCAAAACATGAAAGTTGCTTTATATAGCTACTGCGAGATGGAGCCACCGGCCCTTACGCGACTCGACCTGAACCAATAGGTGCAGCCGTGCCGCTACTGGAGCGGCCGCTGCGGGAGAAATGGTGGCGTTGCAATCGCCATTAGTTTGGTTCCCGAGTATGGATCGGAGCGACTTTTTCAAAGCAGGCTCCTATGGCAGTTTTTCAACTTAGTATTCTAGTAATGTTGACTAGATCTTAATAGCGCAGTCGACTAATCTTCAACAAAATAAAGAAATAAAGGCCCGTTTCCTCTAAACGAACCAATATGCAAGGCAAATTGCAGAGAGAATTGTACAGTGCTATCGAACGTCTCATTCATATCTAGAAGAACCACTAACCTTTCCGCCACCTTTACCTACCCAAAGTAATAGAATCAATTTCAAGCAAATGCCAACTGAAAATATACGCAAATTTCGAGTGCCCTCTTCCTATCATTTATCTAAAAGGCATTATGGTGCATAGTTCTCAAACTTTTCTTTCTAGAGGTAATGCTCACTTTTTTTCCCACACCAATCCATTTTGAGGTTACACAAAGGCCACATCCTCAATACAGATATTTTTGTTTTCCCTCTAAGGTCAACAGTTTTGAGATAATTGTATGACAGTTAACAAAGAACCTAGTCGGTGACTGTCTATTTCACCAAGACACAGGCAACTGCATCAACTGATGCCTTCACAAAACTTGCAACAATGTTTAAAAATAGATTTACTCTGTCACTTTTCAATGATGTATACTCATGGAACCAATAAAACTTGTAAATCTGCACATAACAATTGATGTTTGTTGTGTATACCATGCACCACACTGCACCTCAGTTGCCATTCAACTCTTTCGCACCATGTTGCACCATAAACTTGCGGATAGACTTTAGGAATCCAAGGAAGTGGTGAATGTTGTGCAGGCTAAGCAACACCTGCCCCAACATTTCACCGGTGTTGAGCAGGTGATGAATGTAGGCCCTCGTGAAGTTTGTACATGCATAGCAAGCGCAGCTCTCAAGCAGTGGCACGAAATCTTCCCGGTGTCGAGCATTCTTCATGTCCATTTCAAGCTCCTGATCCAAGAGGTCTCGTCCCAGCATCAGCTCGAGATCCTTGTCGGAAGAGCAGTTGAAAACGAGCGCACATCCTGCTTCTGTGGCGGCATGCGCAAGCGAGGCATCAAAGATGTCTATTCCGTACAGGACTGCCTTCAAGATGAACTCTGGCCGTAGGACACCATGCAGGAACCTGGGCTTATCCTGTGGCAAAAGTGCAATAACTTCCTCCAATATTTCGGCAACTTCTTCGAACTTCAGCGACTTCGTCTGGGGTCCGTTGACGTGGAAGCCTTCTATGACAAAGCCGTCGACGTCTCTCTTGGCCGTCTCCTTCGCTGAAATCTCCCGAAAGTCTCTGTTGTAACCACCCTGGACGCTGCCTAAAATAGCCGAATGTTGCAGGCAACTAGAGTCTGCCTTCATTGCGAGGCACTGGTCCAGGAGAGAAACTGACCTGTCGACAGCGCGTTGCAGCCTCTTTCTGGAGGCGTCCTGTGGCGTGTCGCTGTCGCAGAGTGCTTGGTAGCATGTTGGTTGGAATGCTTCCATCATCCGCGTGAAAGACAATGGGTTCAAGTGTACGCGGCCTCCCTGATCCCAGACAGACACTCCGGCCTTGTCGTTGAACCCGGATGGCGTCGTGACCATGGGATCTTGAATTCTGATAAAGGATGGGTGGCTCTGCAGGGCCACGAAGCTCCCGAGTCCCTTGCCGAACTGCATCACGCTGTCGACAAAACTGGTGATAGGTGGCAGTGGAAACAGGGCAGGTAAGTTTTCGACATCCCCGAGTTTGTGCAGCATGTCGCGAGTCAAGTGAGGTGCGCTGCCGGCTTGTGTGTACAGCAGACATGTCGGTGTGTCCAAGCACTGTTCGCCCGTACCGATACGCAGTCCGCAGATGTTCCCCAGGCGGCCCCGGTGGCCGTGGAAGGTTTCGACGACGCTAAAGCGCATCTTACGGTCTTCGTTTTTCGAGTTTTGAAGAGAGAACAGGAATGGATTCAAATGGAATTTACCGACGTAGAGCAGCCCCGGACAGACGGTTCAATGTTTGTTTAGGCGCTTGGGAGTACACAGTTGTTTGAACCTGAAAATCGAAATGTAAGCAGTGTTCAACGTTTAAACCAAACACCGACAACGCAGGCCGACTGCAACACGTGCATTATGACGGTAAAGGTCCACGGCATCCATGTGGCAGAGGTTATTTTCACTTCTCGGAAAATTGGAGAAACCTTCAGCTTGGTGAGAAACTTACCGAGACACTATGGAAGGACTTCATAAACATAACACAATTTCCACCCTCACATATCGGGAAGGGAACAAAGTCGGTCACCGCGCTCACAACACGGCTCAGAATCGCCAACGCAAAGACGACGTCAAGCCAATGTCTTGGAAGTTGGATTGGATTCGATAGGACACGCAATGAAATTTAAAAGAAAAGCACACAGCTAATGTTCTGTTCATAAATAGCTGGTAATGAAACTAAAATGGCATAAAACTGTATACACGGGATGCGCTACACTTCCAAATTTGTTTAAGGGAAACCCAAGCCGAAACCGAAACTGAAATCGAAGTGAACATCTTTTTTCCCTTAGTTCTGACAGTGTGCTTTCACCGTGCTCTCATGTGCGTTATGCTGAGGGTGATGCCATGAGATCATTTCGTTCGCGACGCTTCTTTTTTCGACATAGAAGTCGCGAGTTCAGTGCCTCTAGCTACATTATGTCCACAGCGATCACAGTGCGCTCGAAGTTTTGCCGTTTTGTGCACTCGTGGAAGCCAGAGTCTAGTGGAAGCTAGGACTCTGCTTTTTGGGAGTGCGCAGGCACGTAGATTTGTGTAATTTTCTGGCACGAGTAATTGCTTTTAGAGCGCAGCTCTTAGGCGCCCGTTTCCGGCTTGAGCGGCGTCGCCATCAGCATAACCGCGCGGCGCATTATGGGTAAATTTCACCGCTAAATTTAGCGGAAAAATTTCCCCGCTTAATTTAGCGGAAAAATTTCCCCACCAAATTTAGCGGAAAAATTTCCTCGCTAAATCTAGCGGTAAAATTTCACCGCTAAACTTAGCGGAAAACTTCCCCTAAATGGGAGGAGAGGAGGGGCATAGCCTCCTCTCTGTACCTTCCCTTCCTCCTCAAGAGCTGCACTCTAATTCGGTGTTACAGGGAGTTGTAAATGGCTTTCATTTTTCTCCTAATTTCTATGTTCTCTTTCCATCTTACACTGCTCTTTTTCATTCAAATGACGGCAGCCTCCTTGGGACTGCAACGGCGAAGGGTGATGCCGATAGGGTGGTTCTCATTTGAACCCATTTGCATTTCTGCCTGATGCGATATACTTCTTAGTGAGCATGTTGGTAATAATGCAAGTTTAGAGGTGTCCCATTTTCGGATCTTACAGCGAGCCTAAAAGGAGGAACGTTACACATTTGTAGTTTTCAAATCAGAACTGTAGCTAAAATAATTCAACATTATTTACACGTCAATCTGTTTCCGGGGCACGTAGGTTTTAGGAAGTCTTATAAAAAAAAAAAAAAAAAAAAAACATACGCGCTCTTAAAACTCAAGCTCCCGTTTGCTCAACCACAATCACATTCAAGGGCTACATATTCTTTAGTCGAGTTCATATGCTTGCCCTGCACTAGACAATAATAATTGGGATCTTGAGTACAATGCTGGGGTCTGCCAACAAAATACAAGAAAAGTTACATGACAGAAGTGCCATTAAGGGAATAAGAAGGCTTCTAGATTTCCTCTTTTGGACTTTTACGAATTCTGACAAACGACCTTGGGTAAGCATCCTCAATGCTGCATTTCAAGCTCTGCTTGTGTAGGAGACACTAGAAGACAACCGAGTCCTTACTGGACCGTGTACTAATATGAGTGAAATGGATTGAACATATTTTAAACTGATCGCATAAATCAGTTTCTTAACTTTCGCGCTGGGATTTACTAGAGAGGTTCCTGAAGTTGGTGGAAGCTTTCGCTAAAATGTAGGAAAGATTGGCTCACCTGAGTAAACCAAGAAAAAAAAAGTTTTCCCAATACTTTGCATGTACACTAATAATGTGTTATTGTTGCGCTCATTTGGGCCAAATGAAGTGAAAAATACGTAAGCCAATTCTATTTTCTTTACATTACACAAATTTTTCAATTGTAGTAAAAGCCAGAATAGCGCACACTGTTCTGATGATTATGCGATAAAAGTCTCAGCAATAATTTTTCCATAGACAAAAAGTTTTTATTTTCTCTTCTGACTTTAGAGGTTTTATGTATTCATACTCTCAGTTAATGAATGCACGAGCTTCGAGCACCTCTGTAGTAAATCCCAGCACAATAAGTTAAGAAACCGATTTATGCGGTCAGTTAAAAGTGCGGTCAATCCATTTCACCCACGTTGTAGTTCATTGATGGCCTTTCACTGACAAGTCATCGTCAAGAGCACAGCTTCCCAAAAATACACTATGCCTATGGCATTGTGGAAATAACCAAACAACTTGAGGCTCCTTTATGGACCAATGCAGTACATTTTCTAAGGGGGAAAAGGGGATAGACAGCCCCTTCTAAACTGTCCAGGGTGTAGTTATTTTTCCTTCACTATGATGGTGCCAATCCCCACTCCTTGGATTCAAAGCAGCCTCGTTAAAAAGAAAAGTGAAACACATATCGTTCGGACTTACAAGGAATGCTTTACAATCTCGTCTACAATCCAAGCAATCATGCATCCTCGCTAATTTTCTGTGTAAAAAAACAATGAAAAACAAGAAACCTGCATAAACACATTGCAATCTTCAGAAGCTTTAGAACATCAGAATCGGCACCGAAGCACATTATAGTCCATTAGAGCAATATTAAACATAAAAATAGTGTTTGCGCAGTCCTAGTGTTCGCATATTTTAAAGAGAACATGGTTATATAGTACTGTGCATTTTTTTCATAAATTTTTAAGCAGCTGCAGGATGCAGCAAGGGGATCGGGACTTTCCAGAATACCCTTCCCACACATCTAAATCAGCTTCTGTACAACTTTAATGCAGAAACAAAGCAACACTCTTTGGGGCAAAATTTTTATTTTTTTCTCAATCTCTATATATATATAAAAAAAAATGATTACAGATCTTCCATAATTAAGTACAAGGAACAAAAAAAAAAAAAAAAAAGTAATTCAGACACAGAATAAATTCATGATCATAAAACATACAAGCATGGAAAAAAACGATTGTAGACCCTTTGCATTCAGAATGTCACTAAACTGTTGGTGCCAAGATACACAACACAAACTAGAAAAAAGCAATGAAACTGAAGTGATGTATTACGAATATTGTTCTCATGACAAAGCAAAGCTAAAAAAAAAAAAAAAAGAATCTCATTGATTCACAATTCTTATGCAGGTTGTTCTATTCTGCAGCCCGTTTGGCGTCTTGTCTTCTACACCAGGCTGCGGGGATTGATTGTGCAAGAGTCGGTGCAGTTGTCTACCTTGAAGATGCCCACCAGTCTGTCGGCCAACTCAAACATGTTGTTCCTCAGTGATATGATGATGAATTGCGCGTTTCTCGTTCTTTCCTACACGCAAAAAGAAACAAAACAAATAGGTAGTACATTTTGCCTGGAAACAGAATAACAATGTATGCACAATCCCTTTAAGTACTATAGTCACTCAGAGAATGAGATCAGCAGGGTGCGTCTTTTGAACCAGTGGCCTCCAGCTAGTGGTGCAAAACTATCGATAGTACTATCGATAGTATCGATAGTCGCCAGAAATCTGACTATCGATAGTGAAAAAAAACTATCGATAGTACTATCGATAGTCAAATATCGAAAAACTATCGATAGTCGACTATCGGAAAACTATCGATAGTCGACCATCGGAAAACTATCGATAGTCGACTATCGAAAAACTATCGATAGTCGACTATCGGAAAACTATCGTTAATCAAATATCAGAAAACTATTGATAGTCGACTATTGTAAACCTATTGATGGTACTGTCGACGATTTACTATCGATAGTTTTGCGACACTAGTAGTTTGCGTCGCTCCCTCTTCTCTTTTTATCGCTTTATTTATTATTATTTTTTTTTTTTTTTTCAAATGGGACACCCATTAGGCCAGGCACTTACCATCCCAACTTTCGTTCAGCTTTCAGTGATGACAAAGACGGGAGTTTGGGCGAGGAGAGGAGAAGGGGGAGGCGAGCGGTAGGGCGGGGGTAAGGCGGGCCGGGGAGGACGAAGCAGACGGAACGCTGGAGAAGAAAGGGTGAAACCTCCTTCTCTCTAAAGCGTTCCGTCTGCTTCCTCCTCCCCGGCCCGTCTTACCTTCGCCCTACCTTCTTGAGTTGTAACGGACTATAGTGGTGCAAGACTATCGATAGCACTATCGATAGTATCGTTAGCCGCCAGTATAGTAAAAACTATCGATAGTCGACTATTGAAAAACTATCGATAGTACTATCGATAGTCGACTATCGAAAAACTATCGATAGTACTATCGATAGTCGACTATCGAAAAACTAACGATAGTCGACTATCGATAGTCGACTATAGAAAAACTATCGATAGTACTATCGATAGTCGACTATCGATAGTTCTGAGACACTATTGATAGTCTTGAAAAAACTATTGATAGTCAATTTATCGATAGTTTTGCATCACTACCTCCAGCACGTGCTCCAAGCTGTCATTCTCACTCTGTCAGCAACTACGGTGAAATCACACCATGGCGCGTCAAAAATTGGCAATGCGACCAAACGTCCATGTGGAACAGGGTACCTTTCCGTATTTTACAATCGACTAAACTTGCATTATGAGACTAGAGACAAAACTTTGCTCTGTCATCATTTTACCGAAGACTATCACCTCTCGTCAAGCGACGGCTGTCGTAAAAATTTCTCAAAGGCCCCTCTTCTGTGTCTGGCACCCCGGGAGCAAGCAGAAAGGCACATACCTTGACGTAGTGACCCACGATCGACACATTCTTAATGTCCAGGGCAGCGTCGATTTCGTCCATAACATAGAACGGCGTGGGCTTGTAGTAGTGCAGTGCAAACACGAGAGCCAAAGAGCTCAGCGTTTTCTCCCCGCCGGACAAGTTTGAAATGTTTTTCCACGATTTCTTGGGAGGACGTACACTAGGAAAATGGGGGGTACAGGCAAAAATGAGGAACCATAGAAAGGAGGTTGTACTTCAAAAAACTTTAGGTACTAAAATGCGCACCTAAAGTTTTTTTTTTTTTTTTTCTTGATGTACAGTGTGTGTGTGTGTGTGTGTGTGTGTGTGTGTGTGTGTGTGTGTGTGTGTGTGTGTGTGTGTGTGTGTGTGTGTGTGTGTGTGTGTGTGTGTGTGTGTGTGTGTGTGTGTGTGTGTGTGTGTGTGTGTGTGTGTGTGTGTGTGTGTGTGTGTGTGTGTGTGTGTGTGTGTGTGTGTGTGTGTGTGTGTGTGTGTGTGTGTGTGTGTGTGTGTGTGTGTGTGTGTGTGTGTGTGTGTGTGTGTGTGTGTGTGTGTGTGTGTGTGTGTGTGTGTGTGTGTGTGTGTGTGTGTGTGTGTGTGTGTGTGTGTGTGTGTGTGTGTGTGTGTGTGTGTGTGTGTGTGTGTGTGTGTGTGTGTGTGTGTGTGTGTGTGTGTGTGTGTGTGTGTGTGTGTGTGTGTGTGTGTGTGTGTGTGTGTGTGTGTGTGTGTGTGTGTGTGTGTGTGTGTGTGTGTGTGTGTGTGTGTGTGTGTGTGTGTGTGTGTGTGTGTGTGTGTGTGTGTGTGTGTGTGTGTGTGTGGGGGGGGGGGGGGGGGGGGGGGGGGGGGGGGGGGGGGGGGGGGGGGGGGGGGGGGGGGGGGGGGGGGGTTGACTTACAGTCGTGTAAATACGGTATTTTGCAAGTCGGGTTGAACCCAACCTCCTTGAACGCCCACCTGAAGATGATGCCCTCCGAGAAAGGGTCAAGGGAGTCCACCAGCTCGAGCTCTGCGTCTCCTCCGAGAGTGAGCATCTGGTATGTCTCCTTCAGCTTGGCCGTGATGATGCAGAAGCCCCGCATGAACTCATTCAGCCGCTCCTTGCGTAGGGTATCGTGGTGCTTGCGCTGATCCGCACGCTTCTCCGTCACCTCCTCCAGCTCGGCGGCCCGCTGCTTGAACACCTCCTCCTAAAGTAGACAGACGGCGCAAGATGCCATTATCAGTCAAATGCAAATCGGCTAGAGTACCCACAACGCAACCCGGTAAAAGATTCCAAGAAGATAGAAGCAAACAACCAGGGATGGAAACAGGCATTTACATTGGAGCAAGGCTTCCCGGGGCCCTAGTCTACACGGCGGGACCAAGCGGGACCAAAGGACTGGCACTTCTTACCAGTCAGCGAGTTCCTCCTGGCAGTTTTGACAAGCTCATCCTGCCTGTTTGGCTACTCCCTACCAGTTCTGACCAGTTGCGTAGCAACGAGGATAAGGACCCCGTGTGCCGGATGGTGTAGCTACGCCACTGGTTCTGACAACTTCTTCCTACTTGTACCAGCGACTTCTTTTCACCAGTTTGACTACTTTTTTTTTAACGGTTTCGACAAGTTCTTCCCGAGAGTTTCGACAAGTTCTTCCTACCAGTTTTGACAAGTTCATCGTGCCAGTTTAGACAAGTTCTTCCTGCCAGTTTCGACAAGTTCTTCCTGCCAGTTTCGACAAGTTCTTCCTGCCAGTACTTCTCCCCACCAGTTCCGATAAGTTTTTCCTACCAATTTCAACAAGTCCTTCCTGCCACTTTCAACAAGTTCTTCCTGCTAGTTTCAACAAATTCTCCCACCAGTCTCGACAAGTCCTTTCTACCAATTTGACTACTTTTCTCCACTAGTTCCGACAAGTTCTTCCTACCAGTCTCGACAAGTTCTTCCTGCCAGTTTCGACAAGTTCTTCCTATCAGTCTTGACAAGTTCTTTCTACTAGCTTGACTACTTCTCCCCACCAGTTCCCAACAAGCTCTTCCTACCAGTTTCGACAAGTTCTTCCTGCCAGTTTCGACAAGCTCTTCCTACCAATTTCGACAAGTCTTGACAACTGGCAAATAGTTTTCTGGCTTCATGTGCAAATGCTAGTTCACTTACAAATAAAGTAACATTTATCATACAAAATAAAAAAAAAATAAAAAAGATATTTCCTTATGCTCAAGTTTTACTAGAGCAACAAAAATAAACAACCGACACCGACAAGCCTCAGGCATGTGCAGCATGCACACAGAGGTGCCTTTGGCACCTTTGTGTGCTCGTGAAGTAAGCACAAGTGACCCCAAGCCTGCAGAAAGCACCTTTGTGTGCATGCTGCACAAGTTTGAGGCTTGTCGGTATCTGCTGTTTCTGTTTGTCGCTCTAGTGCAGTGGTTCTCAACTACTGGTGCTTTGGGGATCCCTTCTGGTTCAACAGAAGTGATGGGGGACCCCACCTACCAGAGGGAAGGAGGGTATTGGACGATTACGACGACGAGAGTAAATAAGAAAACTAAATACATGCAAACCAACTTCGAAGCTCTGAAACAGAAAGTAATCAACCCTATTCACTCGGAACGCATGGTTTGATCTACTATTTAGCTTTGTGGGGCAGCCAACGTCACCAATAAAAGAAGTTTTATTGTTTGGCTTGACTGATGATCAAGGGTTTCGGCAACCTTAAGAAGGACTTCAGAGACCCCAAAGGGTCAGCCGACCCCATTTGAGAACCACTGCTCTAGTGGGACTCTGGCATTACAAATGGGTTTCAATGCAGTGATCTCTCCCGCTCTCATATGTCTGTTCTTTCACCTCGCATGTTTTATTGTTTCTTCAATGCAACAGCAATCGCTTTTTGTGTTTAGAGAAATTGATGCTGCAAATTAGTGTCTACCCTTCTCCGCAGAGTTTGTGGTGCCTAGAGGTTTTCTATAAGTCGCTACTGACAAGAGTCCTGGAAGTCATCAAGTTTGTCCAGTCCTAGTCAATTTCCACTGCAATGTGTAAACCACCACAGATTTGAACCATGAGGGCTGACTCTCCAGCTTTTAAGAGGTAAGAGTAACAGATGTAACCTTCAGCATAGCAAATAACCTTGGAACAGCCAAAGCCAAGAAGGTTTTTTTATGCAACTACATACCTCAAATGTCTGTACTAGTGCTACAGTGACAAACTGACTTTGCTTACTGCATCCATATCTTTGCATCTGTGATTACCAAAAACAATTCAGATGCTTGGATATTTGGACGGCACAAACTTAATCTGTCCTTGAAATGAGGCAACTTACTTCTTACTGCAGACAGGCAATTTGGCCAGTGCAGTACTACTGGCCTTTAATGTGGATCATGCAGTAGTGACTACATGAACACATGTCAGTATGATGCTTGTTCAAGTCAAAATGGGCAAGGGTGGGGATTGAACCCAAGATCCCTCTCTGCAGTGTAAGGTTTTGCTATCAAGCTTTGGGCTGTGGTGCGCTAATGTGCTCGGCCACTGAACCCTACTGTGTTGTTACTATGGAGAGGTTCAACTGCAGTATGAATTAAATGACTAGCCAATATTTCTTACCATCCCATTCAGTGCTAAATTTCTGAAAATATTTCTATCCCGAGGTGCTGTCATGGAGATCAAATATTTTTAATGATTTAAATTTGGCATTAGCTGCCATTGTTACAGTGAGCTCCCTTACCATTGCAACTTGGCTACTCCACTGCTGTTGACCCGCAACACAGCAAACATGTACAAACATGGCTCTTTAAGTCATAGTTCTCTTTTAATTAAAAAAATACAGTAAACTCCCTTGTGAATGGTCTGAAAGATAAATGGTTGAAAAATATCGGGTGGGCGACCTTTGGAAAGAAAACAGCACAGGTTTCTAAAAAATGACTGCATCTCCACGTGGTTAATGATGTTGATTGGGGCGAAGCTCTGGTGGTGCTGATGATACTGATTTTATTGTTCATAGGCAGTGCTGATGGTGCTGATTTTTTTTTATTGCTCATAGGTAGTGCAGAGTTCCAGGTTGCGTTTCGACTTTATTATTACTGCTTTATGGTCAGTGAAATGCAGAGCCAGTGGTTCTTCTAGCGGGTCAGCTTGGATCAGCTAGAAGCCGTGGAAATGCATCTCCACCGCTTCAGTCAGCGGTCCATGTCAGAAAGAGAATGTGTGGTATGGAACGTGGTTATATACGCATTTGAGCATTTGACCACAGCGCCCTCTCGTCTCTAAACGTTGAGCCAATGCATGCAAAGTTTAACGCGATTATATACGCATTTGACCGCAGCGTCCTCTCCTGTATAGACGTTGAGCGGCTACATGCAACGTTTCATCCATGAGATCCCCAGCTCTTGAGTTACTACCACATCTCAGAGCCACCTGTACCGCAGTCGTGGCCGAGTGGTTAAGGCGATGGACTAGAAATCCATTGGGGTCTCCCCGCACAGGTTAGAATCCTGTCGACTGCGCAAACATTTTTTCTTTTTTTAAGAAGACAGATGGGGTGGCAATCGATGTGAGCACGGATGCCGGACAAGGCTAGACCCTAAGGAGCTTCGCCCCTAAAAAATGACAGACGAATACCACGACACCCGCTATCAACCACACAACACGTGAATTGACACCGCAGATCCCGGAACAGGCGGATTTGCGTTTCACGATGTAATAAACATGCGGGAACCCGCTACAAGCTCGCATGTCACGGGAACCGATACTGCAGATCGCGGATGCAGCAGATTTGCATTTCACATGGTGTGATACACCCACTACAGACCACGTCATGGAAACCAATATCGCGGGAGCAGCTTGTGCGCACGGCAAACTTGGGTTCTATGGGGCTATAAACAGACGAGAACCTGCTCCGAGCTCGCTTGTCACATGTATTGATACCGTAAATCGTGCTGTTGATTTGTCAGAAAGCGGGGCTGCGCGACGTTTCAGAATTTTTAGCCTCTGGGCAATCAGCCAGAAAAACGGACTGGGCAATCTCTCGGGTTAGGGCATTTATACAAGATTTCACGGTAAACTATGCATCGCCGAGCGCTTGGTCTCCACCCAAATTATAGTGCTAGCGGTCTGGACTAGATCTCCGAATTCCAGAACGAACCGTTACATTACTCAAAAAGTTATAGGCGATTATAAAAAATTTCTCAATGGGAAAACGGTGGCTGACGAACCCCATGGGCTGAAAGGCACAAACTACCGGTAAAGGACCCCAATTCCCATTGAAAGTTTAAGAAAATCGCTTGTAACATTTAAATAAGGTAGGGGTTAGCTCTGAAATTTTGGCATCTGGTCCGGGCTGCTAGCGTTACATTTGGGCAGAGTACTAAATAGGTTGATATTCGAGTAATATCCTCGATCAGCACTGATGAACGCACCTTCCTACGGTACTCGGATATGGCAGTCATGTTGGGTTTCAGGCTGGAATGCTTATCATCTAGCAAGCTTTTCTGCAGGGACAGGTTCTTCTCGTCGAAGGTGGCCAGCTCTTCGGATGAGAATTCCGTCAACTCCACCGGTGGCTCATCGTCAATTTCGTGGAGTTTCAGATTTTTCATCTGAAAAGAAAGGACAAGCAACTGCAGTCTTTTGCAGCTAAGAGGTAGGCTGCCCCAGCACCTCGCTTCATGGCACAACCATCCCAAGAACCTTTTTTAACAGTGGAGCTGTTAAGGGCTAGTTTCCCCAGTATAATGTCCGCGGGCAAACAAATGTGGACACAAAACTCAGGACAGTTTGAGCGATGGCGGCAACCAGGCAACCGGCTGGCCGGTTGTCTGGTTGCCGCCGTCGCTTATAAATGGTGGTAACCTTTCCAGCTTTTCCACTCTGGAACGACCCCAGAGTGGAAAGGCTGAATTTCTCTAGGCGTCGTCCTAGAAGTCGTCCTTGGGGTCATCCTAGACGTTGTCCGAAAGGTTGTCTTCGAGGTCGTCCTTGAGGTCGTCCTAGACGCTGTCCTCGAGGCCGTCCTAGAACTCGTCCTAGACGTCGTCCTCGAAATTGCCCTAGAAGTCGTTTTTGAGGTCGTCCTAGATGTCGTCATTGAGGTCCTCCTAGACATCATCCTCTAGGCATCGTCCTAGACGTCGTAAAGATAATAGCTTTGCTGGTCCTCCATCGTCACATAAATAGAAGAGCTCTACATTTTTTTTTTACATACATACATGTTTATGGCAAATTAAACGAGTTCAAAAATTACCCAGGCATGCAAAAGCATGCGTGTGTGCTTGTGGGTGGGACACTGTCGCAAAGGACAGAAATAGTGCTACTACTCTTACACAGAACAACGCACCAACATGCATCCAAAAAGAAGTTTTGAACTTTGAAAAGTTACAATAGACAAAGAATAGAGAATAGACGAAGCCTACGGCCTATAACAGCGTTGGAGTCATGGGGAACTATACACTGCATTAAAAAGATTGCAACTATGGGAGGCTACGTTTTTTGAAAGATGAGGAAGAGGGGCGTAAAAATCTTCTGAAACAAAATGTCAGCATTTCGACAGCTTTTGCAACAAGATTTTAAAGTACTGTCTGTCCTGGAGCACTCTACAGAGGAAGAGCATCTTCTGGGTCATTTTACCTTAAAAAAAAAAATACACATCCATTTCCTTTTTAACAATTTTTTTGTTTGTGTGAAAGTGATTACAAATTTTTATACTATTAAAAAGCGACTGACGTACTGGGGTAGCAGGCTTGCATGACGCTCCCGATTGCATAATTGGGATTCACAAGGTTGAGCTCATGAAGTAAAGAAAGACTCGGTCAGAAGCACACAACGAGCAAATGGAGAGCAAACAACATATACCTCTTTGTTCCAGAGCGCCACTTTCCCTCGGCACTCCTTTAGAGCGGTTTCACTCAGCTCCAGCTTGTTCTTCAGCTCAATCTGTTTGGACCTGAGGGCGTTCTCCTCAGCATTGCCACTGTCCATTTCAGCCGTCATCTCAGCAACGTGCTGCTTCAGGGTCTTCAGCTCCTCCTGTGTGATGCCACATAGAGAGGACCGAAATTAGGCAACTTGTGGACAGTTACACATTTTCGGGAAACCGGAGACGACGGATGAAAAAGGGGACAACACACAAAACATCAGTGATATTCGCAAGTCCAAGGTCAAGACAGTGCCGTGGAAAGGTCAAGCCGTTGCCACAGCTAACTTGGAAATGAATGCCTATTTTCACTTCAAGCTTAGCTCTGGTCTAGCTGTACGTACATTCACAGATGCAGCCTCCAAGCCTAAAGAAAACGCATAGTATACATCCAAACGTGCATCACCTACTCGGGTTTAAGAAAGCTATGTACTTGAGGAGTAGAACGTGGAGGTACATTTGAATATGTGCACAACAGTCGCACAGCGTGTACAAGACAGAGAAAACATTTTTAATTATGTGTCAAGTTTGCAGATCTGGTTTGCATCCTTCCAGAAATTATTCATATGGAATCATTAAGCAAAAAAGAAAGAAGTAAGAATGGATAAATGGTTGGCTCTTGGTACATTAAAACAAACATGGATGCTAGTACTTTCTCTGCAGAAACTGATAGATCATTGGTTACTACAGTGCAACCCACTTATAACGATAATGAGAAAACCCACAATTTCAATCGTTATAACCGATTATCGTTGTATCTGAACTAGAAACTGATCATTTCCAGTCTAAAAACTGATCATTTCCAGTCTAGAAACTCTAGAAAGTGATCATTATAAGTGGTACATCATTATATGCGGTATCGTTATAAGTGGGTTGCACTGTATCAAGAAAATTACCTAGAGGTAGACGTGTCATTTTGAACATTTAAGTCTCTTAGTCACATTATAAAAACTAAATTCCATGTATCTCGAAATCAAAGAACAGTTTCAATTAGACATAATGCCAAAAATCGGCAAACTACCGTAGAATACTGTGCATCCGCCCATTCCACACTAAATGCCCATTCCCAAATTGGTAAAATCTGAGCAAATACACACAGTACATTGTATGCAAAACTGATGACCGGACAAGTGCCCATATAGCCATTTTTGCCGTAATACGTTTTTCATCCGTGAGTTCTGTCTATAGCACTGTCATCAATTACAATCTCTGCGCACCACGATGACACATGGTGCGGCTGTGTGCCCCAAGAAGCTCCAACGACTTATATCCCCCATTTTATCACGATTATCTCCAAATTTTGAGTGGTCGCTTGCCCGGTATTTTACAGTGTACTGCCAGAAAGTCACCGATACAATTTGATGTTATATCGGCCATGATGATAAGAAGCATTAACTATAGCCTGCGACAGCTTAAAAACCCAGTAGTGGCTACGCCTCAAGCACATCTTTCTGCCTTCAATGGCACTTCATTGCACGAGCAGCCAAAGCCCGGTGAAAGGCAATGAGCGCGTGAGTACGTGATGGAGGCGGAGTATAGACTACACTGTAATACAGTGCAGTATTCTGTGGAGGTGCAAGGTCACCAAAAGATATGACTGTTAGAAGACAAGAGCAAGAGAAACAAATACACTGCACTTCGGCACCAGTAAGCCTCCAACGCATGCTTTGAAGTCTCGCTTTTTATTGCTAACACAAAACATGAAGCATGAGCGCTGAATCATTCTGACACCAGCCAGTTTTTCAAGCTAAGTTTCTGCTAAGCGAGTTTCTAATTGATACTATGTCTTCACTTTTATCTAAACATATGCATATTCAACAATAATTAAAAAACTCCACCCAAAACTTAGATTTACTTTAGTAATAATGAAAGTATCCCATCAGAATGAACCCAGGACAGCTGCTTAGTAAGCCGTCAGCAAGTCAGTTACTGGTCAGGCCACACTGGGCAACGTTTTGAGTGTCCATGGCTAGTGTAATGAAATAGATGTTACTGCAAACGTCGCAGCTGATTACCACTCTTACCACTGCTCCCGTGCCTCAAAATCTAGGTAGAGAGCTGAGCGAAGCTGCCCTACAACAACGTAATTATTCTGGAAACAAGAATGATTTGAAAGAGTCTTAGTAGTCACAAACAGAAATAAAATTTCGGTGATGTATAGCTTTACAACGAAAGATTTTGGTAAGCATTTACAGAAAGATCTTACAAGTCTATGCGGGTGTAACCAGGCCAGAGACCTACCAAAGAGTAAAAGAGATGTTTATAAAACTTACGGTAAGTTTATTGACAATCTCCGTGAGCTCTTGACCTTGGGTCTCGAGGTCTTTGTACTCCTTCTTTGCCGCTTCTGAGCTTTCTTTTGTTTCCACAATCTCGGCCTCCAAGGATGCAATTTTGTCTTTACATTTCTTTAGGTTTCTGCAAGAAAAAGTTAAAGAGGAATATAAACCTAAATTTCAAATTTTCTGAAAAAAACTCATTTTTCAGTTTTGAGGTTTTCGGTTTTAGAAACTAGTTACACACCCTTACACTGAATTTGATAACCATATACCAAATAGTTACATTGATATAAAATATTTTCAACACATTGTGAGGCAGTAACAAAGTAAAGGAGTGCAATGTTTGAATGCATTTTCCTTAGTTCCACTTTTTGCTGTAAATTTCATACAAAGGAATCTTTTGTTTGAAGGTAAAACTATTCTGACACCACAATCAAGATGTTTCTGAAGTGAAATTTACTGGGGAATCGGACTATCTGCTCATTGAAAAAACACTGTTTTCAAAAAGACTGACATAGGACAGATATGCATCTTCTACTTTGAGGTAATAACTCTTCCTGAAATATTTACATTTGAAAAAAAAAAAAACTAGATCGCCCGAAGTCCCACGCCCCAAACTTTATATTCTAGCAGTCAAAAAGGTGCTTAATAGCTCCATTTGCATATCATAGATTTCTTAATGAAGAGTGACACATCTTATGCAGGTATGTAAAGTCGTCCTAAAAAGCTGAAAGTTTGCACAGTACACCTTACATCTGACGTTAAATCTCCCCTGCGAATTTCATTAAGATCACTTGAGTAGTTCAGAAGTTCAGCCACTTAAAGTGCTCGCGTCACAGAAAAGTCGGCGTCGGTGCTGTTGCAACGGAAGAATCCTGATTCATTGATAGGGTCCCGACGTCACAGCGACATGACCTCGCGCAAGAATTTCAAACAACCCATGACGCTCACGTGACGTCACGCGTAGAATGAAAGTGATTAAAACATGACATGTAATGCGAAATAAAGGTCGCCGTATGTCTCAAATGATTTCACTTTATAAAGTAATTAAATTGCCTTAAAGGAAGATAGGAAGAATTCTAGGCGGCATTCAAACCCAAAACCCTTCAGTTGCGAGCCAGAGACGCTACTGACTAGGTTATGCAAGGCATGCTTGCACGGCCTGGGAACGAACGGGAGTTTATATGTTTCACTCTCATTTTTTTTACCATTTTCCCTCTCCTCTACTTCTTTCAATATTAGTGTCGATCAATGTTAAATTCTTTTTTGCTTTGTTTAAGCTCATCCTGGCAAAAGGTGCTGCGCAATTTTTGAGCAAAAATAGCATTTTGGCACGACATGTAGCAGACTTGGGTTCATGGCGCAATTTGGCGCAAATGATGCGGCGCTTCCATCACTGTTACAGTAAAGGCGTGTGGACTGTACTTCATTACGACCCGCCGAGGAAGGGAGGGAGAGGAGAAGACGAGAGCGCGCAGGGACTTTGTCTCCACCGCACTAGTCGAACATATTAGAATGCGGAACGCCGATGTCGTGTTTGGTTTTCGCATTTGAACGCCTTCGACAAGTGCAGTGGGGAAAAAGGCAGCTAGCTTCAGGGCTACCCACTAATCGTTCCAATCAAAGCTCGGCCCTTTGACGTCCCCACGCGCCTTCGTCTTCTCCCTTCCTTCAGTTTCTCAGCACATAGAATACAATACAATAAATTAATTTTCTCATCAATTGATAGAATATGCCGAGAGTCACCATATTCACCCATCTCTACTCAGAGCCAATGATGGCAGTGTTTTTTTTTTTAGCGATGCAGAAACACATATTGGTGATGCAGGGGCACAAGTTGGTGATACACAAAAATCAAAGGAAACAGGCAGACCTTTCAGCTGTCTTGATGCTAGTAGAGGCCCTTGTGATCGCGAAAGAGGCGGCATCCATCTGGTTACTGATGCCGTCCACCTTCTGCTGAACGCTCCCCATACGACTGGACGTAATCTCCATAATCTTCTCGTGAAGACTGAAACAAACCCATCGAAATTGTTTTCACACTCCACAAAGAAGATTCCAATAAGAATTTTGAACCAAATCGAATGTAATTTTCTTTTATTAATTTTTTTACTTCATGATAGGATGTTGAAAAGTATGACAGCAAGCACAACCCACTTATCAAGGCCCCATTTAGAGACCAAGTCATGTTTGTTGCTAAAGTAAGCTATTTAAACTATTCTACCTTGCACATGACCCTTTTCGGGAAGAAATACTATAGAATGGTGAATGAGTGTCACTAGACAACTGCAGTGAAAAACTGCATGGACTACATGAAAATGAAAGAAGCAGAAAGGCACACTTACTGCAGCACCTTGTCCTCAACTTTTTTCCAAGCTGATAGGGTTTTGTCATACTCTGCGAAACAAAGGGGCTTCTTCAGTTCAAACTCAACCATAAATCATGGTCCTGTACTTTCAAAGCATGCTTCAATGTCTTCTAGATGAATTTTCAAACTTAATTTAAAAAAGAATGCTAGATGGGTGCCCGAAGAAGGCAACTAAGCCTGGATACTCAACAAAAGCACAAAGCAGCCGATAGAGGAAGGTGCCCTCATTGCCCTCATTACGCAACTCAAACCCACAAGAGATCATAAGAAAAAGAGCAAGCCTAGTGAGATAAAAAAATTCACTACAGGAAGCAGCAGAATTAAGCTTCGTCTAAATATGGTTTATCACAATCTTTGCAACCGTTTTTTTTTTATAGAAAAATTGCACCAAAAGGGTAACTTTACAATCGACGTGAATCTAAACAATAGCTGAACTTAAAGGATGACACTAGTAATAATAAGCTGTCCTCTCCTTTGATTTCAGTAAGCCTTTTGACAGTCCACTTCCAGTGATGTCCATTTGAAACATGCCAACAAAGTAAACTAATCCAAACATCTAACCTCAAGTGTAAAACCCCTTATCACTTCCTCCAATTTCTGCCAGGAATCCCTAGAGCTTACTAAAAAAGCTTCAATTTTTCTGGGACTTTGGGAATAACCTCTCAGCTCACCACACATCAAAAGTGTGGCGACACAAATATAAGATAGTGCCACCATCTTTCGTGGCCATATGAAGGGACACTATGACAGCATAGTAATATTCCTGCACATGTCAGGGCATGTAACCACACTTTCATCCTTAAGTAAACCTTTTTTTCTGTACGACTGCATGGTCAACCGTCTCAATACTTATATACATAAAAGAAATATCTATTGTAAGACTTGTTACGCAGACCTTTCTTGAAAGCTCCGGCAGACTTCTCCAGCTTAGCTAAATGTCCGGAGTCTGGTGCAGCCTGCTGCACTTTCTGACGCTGTTCAGTCAACTGGGTGCTTAGGGAGCTCTGCTGGCTTTTCAGGCCCTGTGGAGCAAGAAAAATCACATGCAAAACATCCCATATCTTCTGGAAAGAATACATATTACAAGGTTTCAAAAGGGGCATTTGTGGTAACCAATGTAAGCTCGACTCTTTCAGAGTCATCGCATTCAGTTAAAAAGTCTGAGCAGACCATGAGTATAAGGTGGTAGCTTTGCGAGATGGTTCCATTGCGCTTAAAAAAACATTGCAGAAAATTTTTTTTTTTTTTTTTAAGGATATAGATGGGACACATACCTTTTAAATAATTTTACAAAAAAAAAAAAGTTCCTTTTTGAGCAATATTTATGCTGTTACACACAATTTAGGTGCAGAAGGTGGAGGTCGCAGCCCGCTAAGCCCGCCCCGTGCTTACATCTCTTATTGGCTGGAGAGATAATTCATGAGTCAAAGGTTGGTTGTAAATTTGTATCTCTGTGTCGTAATAGTATTTCCTCAACCAATGTAGTTTGCAGCAAACAACCGCCACAAGTATGCACCTTCGGAAGCGCTGTGCGAATGCTTGTTCTTGTAGCGGGACTGGCTTAAGACTAGCGTACCAGATCAACTATTTCGATCAATCTGGCTTGATTTCTTTCTTTGTTGATGCTGAATAAAGATGTTGGTTCCCTAAAAAAGTGGCCCCGCTGCTCTGTGAATTGTGCAACTGTCGTGACTGCAACCATGGTTTCAATACCGAAAAGATACCTACACAGGTAAGATTTTGCGAGCATTTTGGCTGGAGGCAGTTGGGCGTTCTGCTTGCATCAAGTTTGTCGAGCCATGTTCCCATCTTTGCGCCTCGAAAGGCAAGCCTTCAAGTTTTGCAGTGCACCTGGCCTACCAAGGCGAATGTTTTTATGCCACATTTTAATTGTGCGTCACGACGCTCACCCACCTTGCTCACAGATGCCATGTGAAAAAAAATAAAAACAGTAAAGCTAGAAAGACTGCATATTTATTTTGTTGATGTCGTAGTTCTCTCGGTCGCTTATTACGCACATTGACATACACTGACAGACGCTTGTATTGAACCGTGGCTCGTGCATGATGAAACGCTAAAACGCTGCTTTCATGGTCACGTCTTCTGAGCATTGCAGAAGTTTCTAGACGGCGGATGAATAGCAAATGGATGGAGGAGTAAACAAACGCCGATGTGTAGCTTTTGTGTCCGCGTCTCACGGCACTGCAGACGACGACAAACGGTGGTGAAATAACAGACAATGCTGGAGGCTGCCGCTTGTCTGCTCCCACGACCAGCAGGTGGTGCTAAACTTCCAGACTAGACGCACCGGAGGACGCGAAAGAGAGACACTACACTTGCTGGCCTGTTTGGTCGAGCAGCCAAGCCAGTCCAGCAGTGACGGGCGGGGCCACTGATCTGTGGGCAGGGCTTAGAGCGGGCCATGACCGCTCCCTAAATTGCGTCTAACGGCGTAAATATTGCGGAAAAAGAACTTTTTTTTTCATAAAAAAATTATTTTAAAAATTATGTGTCCTTCCTATGCCCTTTCAAAAAAAGAACTTTGCTTTTCCTTGCACAATCCCTTTAAATTAAGCTCTGGTTGCATGACCACGTTAGGAGCTACTTGTGGGGGGTCATTGCTCCGTCGTCTCCAAAAAAGACAATGAAATTACTTGTTTCTACGAGCCTGACAGTGCAGGAAAATAAATACAGAATGTTTTCAACTAAGCTCGGTGTCGGTCACATCATTCCCTTTGTCCTCAACATCAAATACCCTTCATACTGCCTACATACTGGAGAAGTGCAAATGAAGCAGAGAACGGCAACAAGGTGCACTTCTCCGCTTCATCAAAAGACGTGCAAACAAAGAGGCACGCACCGCTAGACGACAGTGAAAGTATAAGGCTACAGAAGAAGTGATCGCTGGTGTACTTCCATAAATTGCAACAACCAATTCTTTGCATGCCGCGGTAGATGCAGTGAAAGTATAAGGCTACAGAAGAAGTGATCGCTGGTGTACTTCCATAAATTGCAACAACCAATTCTTTGCATGCCGTGGTAGAGAGTGGACATGTGAGCTTCGTTTACGAAACGGTCGCGTCAAATTTGAGCAAATACGCTACCACCGCAAAGACACACGCTGTTTGCTTATGAAACGGTCGCACAGTAGAACCTCGTTGATACGATCTCGGTTCATACGATTTCCCGTCTCATACGTTCAGAATCGAGGGCTCGAAAAATGTCCCATAGAGTTACGACTCGTTCATACATTTCTGGATAATACGATTTCCCGGGAAAGTACGTCCAAAGTTTCGCCAAACATGGATCGGATTATACGTTTTCTGGGCAATGAGCTCCCAATCTTCGGGCAGAACGGGTGTCGCCGCACGCACCGCACGCCGAACGTTCTCGATGTTGATGCGTTCGCGTTCACTTCTTGATTTTAGTCGTTTTCATGATAGACATGTGACTAAGAGTCACTCTCGGTTACTCCACCAAATGCTTGAAGACACCATTTAAACAGGCTACGCGACTCTGAGGATGATAAACGCTTCCCTAAGAGTAACTCTTGAGCCATGTACGGGTGGTAGTAAATGAACGAACCTGACAACTTTTTTGTTTGACATTTCGCGAGGTCGGCATTCCGCCATTTCTCTGTTGCCGTGCCGTGGTGCGCGTCAGCCTTGCTTCTTTCCGTGCCCGTGCCCGAGAACCGGCGATGGCATCACGCAAGCGGAAACCTTTGACTTTGAGGGAAAAGTTGAACATCTTGGCACTTGTCGACCGGGACCCTAAACGGAAAAGAACTGACATCGCCAAGAACCTCGGACTGCCTGCGTCGACGGTCAACACGGTTGTGTCGAAACGAAAGCAAATAGAAGAAAACGCCCTGGTCTTTGGTGCAGTGACGAAACAGGCCCGCGGAGCAAAGCACGGAGAGTTGGAGGATGCGCAGCAAGCACGGGCATCTGGTGTGAACTTCGACGGCAGCATTCTGTGGGGAAAGGCCATGGAGATAGCAGACATCATGGGTATTGAGGATTTCGCAGTTTCGAACGGCTGGATGGACCGATTTCGGGTTTGCCATAGCATCTCGTACCGCCAAGTGAATGGTGAAGCATCCCGCGTGAATCCGGCGGATATTGAAAACTGGATTTTATTGCTTCCGGGCATTGTGAATGCCTACGCCCCGCGCGACGTCTACAACGTCGATGAACTTGGCCTGTTTTTCAAGGTGCAACCCACGAAGTCCCTGAGTTTGAAGGGGGAGTCGTGCCACGGCGGGAAGCTCAGCAAGGATCGAGTAACCGTGCTGCTTTGCTGCAACGAAGATGGCACGGAAATGATCAAGCCGTGGATGATCAGGAAATGGAAGAACCCGACATGCCTGAAAAACCTTGCTCGGCTTCCTTGCGTATATAAGCACAACACCAAGGCTTGGATGACCTGCAGCCTCTTCGAAGTGTTTCTGCGGTACCTCGACGGCTGACTGGGGTGCAAAGACCGGAAGGGGCTTCTCTTTTTGGATGACTGTTCAGCTCATCCGAAGGACACGTTGTTCCTGCGCAACCTCCGAGTCGTCTTCCCGCCGGCAAACACGACGAGTCACCTGCAGCCTCTGGATGCCGGGATCATCAAGAATGTGAAACACAGGAAGTGCATCGCGCGACGCTTCTTGGCTCGCGTGTCCCGAGGCGAGGACCCCTGCAAGCTCACGTTGCTTGATGCAATGCATTACCTGAATGCATCGTGGGAAAGCGTGACCAGCGAAACAGTCAAGAACTGTTTCAGGAAGTGCGGGCTTCGGCATTCGCCAAAAGTGGAGGAGCCCGAACTCAGTGTGAGCAGTGACCCCGACTTTTGCGAGACTGAAGATGATGACATGGAAGAGGAGCTCCGGTCCGCCGGCTCGGAGCTGGCGTTCAGCGATTTCATCGCTGTGGACGACGAGGTCCCAACGTGTGACCACCAAACCGTTGCTGACATCGTGGCGGAGTTGCGACAGGGCCAAGTTACTGGAGACGAGCACGATGACGACCAGGATGAGGATGAGCCAGAAACTCCTCCAAGAGCTACTTTCGCTCAGGCAGTCGCTGCACTGGATGTGCTGCGGAGCTACTTTGCCACGAAAGATAACCCTGCAGCTGAGGGAGGCCTGCAGACGCTGCAGAAGGAACTGTTCCTGCCAAAAAATCAAGGTGCGTGCCAGCAGAAGCTGACGGATGTTTTCGGGAAGTGAGGTACTGGTATTAAATGTTTCTCAGCTGCACTCACGACTTTTGTTTTTTCCCTACTGCCTTGAAATGTCAAGTTCGGATCATACGTTTTCCCGGATCTTTTTGTTTTTTTCCTCGCGTTTTTTTCGAAACGTATCAACGAGGTTCTACTGTATGATGCTCGAGCAAATAGGCTACCGTTGCAGGGACATGTACAAGCTTCATTACAAAGATGCATGCCCACGGACAAAGGGGGAGAAAGATACAGAGGGACGGCTCACCTTAACCTCCACCTGGAACTTCTGGAGCGCCAGCCTGGAAGAGGCCACATCCTTGCGCAGCGCCGTCCCCTTGTCCTCGAGGATGCCCTTGCGCTCCTGCAGCTGACGGCACTTGGACTCGAGGGCGCCCAGCTGCTGCACGAGGGCGTCCAGGTCATCTGCGCCGACGCTCTCGTCTAGCAGGGCCTTGCCCATCTTGCCCCGGGACACACGGCCTCCACCGCCGCTCATGGTGCCTGGGAGTGGGCATGGCCCGTTAGAAGGAGCCTCCAGTCTTCGCTCGCAACGCGCATTTGGCAGAAGGTTTAAGACCGGTTTATGGATTTACGTCCGACTGCGCTCGCCCATCCTATTCGCGACTCCAGCGACCTATACGGGGCGCCACCACCAAACAAACTAGGCGGCTGAGTCCAGGTCGCGTCGGTTCGGCCGGGCCGCCTGAACGGGTGGCGCATTCAATTTAGCAGCTTTTCTTCTGTTTAATGCCCAATTTTATAAGTATTTGAACTGAGACGGCTAAATGTAGCCGGTGCACATAAACTTGCAGAGCATAGTTTTGTTTTCCCAGTGTTTTTTGTTCTTTTCATGTCAAACTTTTGTTTCGGAGATTTCGTTCAAAACCGAAACTCTGGGCTCCGTAGAGACGGTAAAATACTAATCAGTTTTGATCACCTAAGGAAAGCGGTGATGATTACAGAATTGTTCCACCGAGAGTAATTTTCAGCTACCTCGCATGCCTCGACCATGCGACTTATCTGTCCGCGAAATTGAGCTTTTGTGCATATCCGCGTTTAAGAAACAGCTCCAGTCGTCTGCTCGGTCAACAACACAGGCTGCTGGAAAATTACAAAAATTAAGCAAGCGCTTCTTGAGTGAAGGAGCATGTTGACCAGCTGGCGCCCCACTAAGCAGCTGATACTCGCATTTCAATTCAGGCTTTAGCAGCAATCAAGAAGTCATTCTGACGAGCGGGTTATGTATTATATTACGTACTATGGTCCCACTAACGCGATATTAGTATAATCTTCGGGTTGAAATATGAGCTTAGTTGACTAGCTATTAGGTGAACTGCTGAATAAAAGTATATTTGACAGACAGAGAGATACTACTTAAACTTAGCCAAATGGTTCTAGCCGGCAGCACGGAGACAAACTGAAGAGAGTCTTCATCGGAGATTCACGCAGAACCTCTCTGCATTGAACTTTGCTTCGAATCCTGAATGGAGAAAATTAGTATTCTTTGTGGCCGGTCAACCTGAGCAATGTAGACGTATATTGCTGCTGGCTTCGACGGGGGTATCATATAAATATTGGAGGCGCAATAGATCAAAATGCCGTGACAGCTTCCAACGTTGCGAGACGCATCACCCACCTTTTGAAAACAGATAATTTCCCTCATTCATCATTTGCAGCGAGCAGGTTTTCCTGAATCAAGTAATTCCGAAATCAGCCAAACTCCTTCAGTGTGGTCCGGAGGTTTTTTCGGCGAAAAGATGGCCAAGATGAATAGCAAACGCGCTCACTGGCGTGGGTGGCTAAAACTAGAAGCTAATCGAACATAACCTAACTCAAGAAAAGCATCTATCGAACCTTCCCATCCACTTGACTGCAACATTGGTGTTCCCTCCAGTAAAATGCCTCGTCTGTTGTCCCCGGTCCACTGTTCTACATCCTTCTAAAGAAACCACTTATCAGTTACCAAGTAGTCGTCACTTTGAATGTGATTCGAGACAGACAAGAAATCAAAACGTTTTTCCCTGATTCCTCTCCATCCAGGAAATCGAAAGCACGCGACTGTGTGTTGCGGAGTAAATGGGCTTTCAAACAAGCGATGGAGGGAAACAATCAACTGAGGCTTCACCACACGAATGAACACTCAGGCAAACTTAAGAAATTTTCGGACCTTTGTGAAATTACACTATCCGCCACCGCGACGACAACACGTGTCCGTGAAAGCCACCAGAGACGCGGGGGGGGGGGGGGGGCGGAGCGACCTGGTCCGGCTGGTTCCCGGTTTTCCCGCTTGGTGGCGTCCGTTTTGCTGGAGTCGCGAATGGTGTTTGGAACGAGCCTTCGAGCGGCTCGTTCACCGTCTACCGGAATAGGACGGAAGTCCCCAAGTAGGAACAAATTGTCTCCGCGATCTCGATGGTTGGTCGTAGAAATGCCGGCAAAAAAGGATGCAAGGGTAGCCGTCATCATGGCGCGTCCGCTCGTGTCTGCTTTGAAATGGGCGTCTGCCACATTCGGCTCCGCCACAGCGCCACTGCCAATATCGCGGCAGGCGACAACACGACACCTTTGCAACGACGTCGTCGGGCAAAAATCGAGAGACCGCTTTAGAGGACAGAGTAAACGCATCGGTCGGAGATGCGCTCCCGGCATTGTGACCGTGTTACGACCCCACGTGATGGCTTGTGACGAGAATCCACTGGCACCGTCTAGGAAACTCCGGGAAGTTACGAATTTCGTACGTGTTATCGGAAGTTTGAATTATCAGAAATTCATCTAAATATGATGCGAGATAGAATTAATGTTTGTTATACAAGTGGCCACATGTGCCAAGCAGACATTTGATGATTTCCTCTACACGGGCCTGCTGATCATAAGCAGGTACCCCCGGCGTGAAACATTGGTGAAACATATGAGATAAGCTGATTCATTCCTCAAAAATGTTGTCTATAGCGGACTGTTTAGATGGCACGCGACACCTCAAAGCAAAATGAAGTTTGTTCACCTGGCAAAAAAAAGTTGTCTATTGCGGACTTCTAGCCCCGTTGAGTTTTAACCGGGCAGCGGTGCACTGCGGAAAAGCAACACAAGGAGAAGCGAGCTCCGTGGGTGTTGCTTTTCCAAAGTGCTCTGGTGCTCGGTAAGAAGCGCGTTTAACGGGGCTAATGGACGACCAAAATTACAAAATTTCGGTTGTCCAGCTATGTTTTCAATCTATTTAGAAGTCATCTAATTCAAACGGTGTTCTCGTATATTTCATAGTTTTTGTTCATTGCGGCCCCGTCTAGTGTGCTTCTTACCGAGCACTGGAGCACTGCGGAAAAGTGCTATATCTCATATATACATAGAAAACATGGCGCGACAACCAAACTTTTGACATTTGTAGTACCAAATATCTGAGTTAAAATCATCGCGAGCCTACTGTATCGAGCAACCTTGGATCGGCTTAGACCAGAGTCCAACTAGACCGAAGGTTTTGCAGTATTTTCAACATCAAACCTCTGCTGCATATATGAGAAATGGTTTCTTATAACGCTGTCGAAATTATTTCGAGCTCACGGCGAAAGAATGATATGCGGAATATACGCAGGTGCGAAACCGATCGATCGTGCCAGTGTGTCAGGCAGCCACGAGAGATTACAACGCACTGAGCCACAGTCAAACGCAAATGTGTGAACTGGCTCCAAGTTGCAACCGGTGGCAAAGCTTTGGACAACACCCGTTCAATCAAACCATACATGGAAAGACCCGTGACACAGTGAAGGCGACCTGGGGGTGCGACCTCCTCACCGGAGACGTCGATGAGCTCCCCCTGGAGGGTGACCACACGGTGGCGCGTCCTGCCCTGCAGCCCGATGCGGGTGGCCTGCTCCAGGTCTTTGGCCACCAGGGTGTCTCTCAGGGCAAAGTAGAAGGCCGGCAGGATGCTGGGCTCCTTCACCGACACCAGGTCAAACAGCCGAGGCACGTTCTCGGGCCTGCAAGCGACACTCACTTAGTCCGCAAGAGGCTGTAGAAACATGTGTTACAGCGATTAATATTACACGCAGCTCGGTAGCTGTTGCATTTGCTCAAAAATGGGTCTGCCTTTTTCCTGCAAAGCCAGCAGACTTACGTAACTTGCAAAACCTGCACCGAGACTTAGGTTAAAGCATGACGAACCAGAAATGACGCGTGGACTCAAAAACATAAATTGCGTTGGGACGCCGATGTGTCATACTTTGGAACCCCAGTATTACCGGTGCCTGTTCATCCGCCAAAAACGACTTATTTCCGTAAAGCGCAGTCATCGCCTCCCCCCTGCGAACTGTGGGCAAGTCTATGGGCGTTTTGTTTAAAGCGATAGTTTTCAGGAGCTCATGTCGCAGAAAATCTGGCGTTGGCACCAGCGGCGTGGGAGGGAAAAATCCTGATTGGTCGATAGGACCATGACGTCACAGCCCCATGACCTTGCGCAGGAATTTTCAACAACCCATAATGCTCACGTGAAACGTGACATCACGCGTGGAATGAAAGTGATTAAAACATGAAATGTAATGCAAAATAAAGGTCGCCGTACGTCTAAAATGATTTCACTTTATAAAGTAATTCAATTCCCTTACAGAAAAAATTTGAAGAATTTTAGGTGGAGGCGGGATTCGAACCCACGACCCTTCATTTGCGAGCCAGACACGCTACCGACGATGTGAAGCACCCGTGTTCAGTCTCCTGGACACGCAAGCTTCACATGCCGCGTGCGTGTGAAGCACGCATGCGACAGAAATTGAATTGGCTGCCACGCTTGACACAAAGTGAACGTGACTCATGGCCATAACTCGACGTGAGCTCCCGTAACATAAAGCAATGTAAGCACACAGTACAGTCTAAGCTCATTACAACAGACTTGGTTACAACAGACATTTGGATATAACATACCAATTTGTGAAGTTCAATTGGTTTTCCTCTACATACCACTGACTCAACTTCATATCTGCATACAACATACTCCTTTTACAACAGGTCAAAATCTTGGTCAAAATCAAGGTCTGTTATAACGAGCTTAGACTGTACTGAGTGAATAAGCCTTTAATCGAAGAACCTCCGTAATTCTCTTTTGAAAAATTCTGACACGACTTCAGAGGACCTTTTTTCGCTTTTATGAAGCGTACGCAGCAGCAAAAGTCACTCACGTGGTTATCTTTTTTGTAGTGTATGAAATCCATCGATCCATCTGCAAAAAAAGAAAAACACCAAAAAAAAACTGATTAATGCAGAAGACTGTCCTGAAACATACTGAAAAATAAAGCTTAATAATTTATGTGACTGCATCCCACTTCTAAATTTTTGGTTCAGTTATAATAAACCACCATATTTTCCGGGCTATAGTTCGCAGACTATCCATGTCTAAAAGTTTAAATTTTACCCGATGTGGACTATCTACGCATGCAGACTATACAAGGATATTTTTTTCGTAAGATCATCTACTGTGCAAGATGCAAAGGATTTTATGAATAACAGAGTATAATAATGTTAATTTATGTGTGATACAAGCTTCTTTGTGAGCTAATGCAGCAGGCATTTGTCAAGGTGTGCTGTGTATTATCATTTTTACGTTTGGAACAGGCACTAAAAGTGCAAACTATGAGCCGGGTGTGGACTATCTAAGCAAAAACTTTTATTCTTGATCCCAAAGACGAGTGAAGCAGCTTCTTGTACTGCCCCACCAATGAGTGTAGATGGAAAAAGAAGTTCTATTGCTGCCAAGCAGTCAAGGTACGAACCTTTTCTAAAGCAAGGAAGTTTGCCACACCGACGTCGTGCTTCTTGAGATACTCCACGCAGCGTTGGGCCGAGAGAACCGTGTCTGTCACGATGTAGTCCAGCTGACCGCAGGCTGTCGAAATGGCTACGTCATACTTCTCGTCAATGGCTCCAAGATCCCCCTGTCGTTCAACGACGAGATTAAGAAAAGTCAACACACAAATGTCCTCATCTTCATGAACTTTGCACGAAAAGTTGCACGACAGCAAAGGTGGAAGATAAAAACATATGAGCTGGCTCGATGCGACGACAAAGGGTGTTGACCACAGGACTATCGCACTTAATTAGGCACAACTATACAAAACAAAAGTTTATTTTTAATTTCAAGCTACACTTTCCATGAGTTGCTTGCAAGGAAAAGCCAAAACATCAGACACACCCAAGCAATTCCCGGAATCTCCAATGTCACGTCTCTCCACACTGGTGCCTGGGTTTCAGTCCGGCTTTGTTATAGTTTTTCTCAACAAATATGCAACCTTATAGCAAAAAAGTAATTGGGTGACGTCTTCACACCCTATTCTAAAGTTCTGCAAAAAAAAAAATAATAATAATTTACTGCTTCTTTGGCTTTTCCCAAAGGTGTCTAAAGGTATAGCATTTAAAACCCCCTTGCTCACAACCGCCCGAATCTACCGTCGGTTGCACAGATTACACACTGCACCGAGCAGATTGTCCACGAACTGGCGCTTAAACTTCCGGTTGGACGCCGTGCAATGGTGACTGGTTTTTGCGTCACTGTTGGAGCCGGCACCCTCGCTTCGCAGCCACGTGCTTTACTCCTCTCTTCACCTAAGTGCACCTACCAAAGCTGCTCTTGGGCAGCTTAGGTGGTGCACAATGCCCACAAGCAAGACCCTACACTGTATGTGTAGTCTGCTTTGCTACTGCCAAGTGCACACCGAGGAAGGTCTCCGCTCCGAGAGCAACTGAGGACTCCACGCGGAGCATGCAATTGGTGAATACACGCTCCCCATTGCGAGTTCCACACTACACACTCTCTCGAGGCTACATCCCAGACTCGGACCCAAAAGCACTAGAGGTGGCCCAACGTATTATAAAATTTCCTACCGCTCAATCATGCCGACGAAGACCGGAGAGCACAGAATGTGTGATGATTGAAAACCTGAGACTGTGGTTTTGAAACCACAGTCTAAGGTTTTCAATCGTCACGTATAACTTGCACCAGCTCGCCTGCACTTTAACCGTTTTTTTGCAGAATGTGTCCTGCGTTAGCATTTATTGCTCCGGTGCATGCAGCCGTCTTTCGTTCGGACGGCCATGGTGTGGGCTGGACTGGTATCGTGCGGCCAATGTGGCTCCCATTGTGCTCTTTCGCCTTGTTCGTTCGCTCGTTACGTCTGCTTTCTCTCTTACAAGAGGGAAAGAGCCTTTCGGCACGCTTCTGATGATGTACCGCGAGAGCGGGAAAGGAGGGGTTCGGGTGACCGTGGTGGAGGCACGACGTACGCGACAATGTATAACCGAGGCGCAGCGACAACGCCGTTTGCGCGAAACCGTCGACACCCGGAAAGAGAGATCGGCTCTTCGAAGACCACAGTATGCAGACTGCAGGCGGCGGGCGAGGGAAGCCGCAGTGGTTGCATCCGAAACCGCCGACGACTGGAAGGGCAGGACCGCCGCGAGGTTGGAATTCCCGTCATTCGCAGACTCTGAACACCCCGCGCTAAATGCCGACGCATTTCGTTGAGAATCGGCAATTTTAGCATGCGGTTTTGTTGTGCCCCTAAGATGCTAGCCAGGGCGAGACTGAGGCTAACAAGCACGCCGCATGAGTGCTACTTTATGTGGTTCTTGTGCAATGCGCAAAGTCAAAGAGTCAAGCAGTCGCGTAGTACAACGTCGCACATCTCTTGCCAACATGTTTTGCCGGAAGCGTAATCCTTTCAGAGCAGCTGTACTATGCAGCTCAGTGGCTATAGTATCCGACCGCTACAGTGTCGACCCAGCTTCGAGCCCCGCTGGGGCGTCCATATTACGTTGATTTTATGCGGACCTTAAAAAGCTTTATATGTAACCTTAACATGGTGTGACGCTCCCAGCGTGTCGCTTGTCCCTGACGATTTCCTCGTGAAAAAGACCCATAAAACACATTCTGTATGAAAAATTGCAGATTTCTCCGCGAGTCTTGGATTCTCGAGAGAAATCGCGGATCCGCATGGACTCACCAGCCTGCCAACGATGCCGGGCAGCTCTCCGGACCGTTTGGCCTGGAGCAGGGAGTCGAGGACACGGGAGCGGGACCGGTTGGCATTGGCGTTTGAGCGCAGCTCCTCCACCCTGCTTCGCTCGGCCTTCAGCTTCTCCTGGGCCTCACGCTCCTCCGTGATGGCCTGCTGAAGGTCTGCCTCCAGGTCGCGCAGCTGGCCCTCCTTCTCCGGAACCAGGCGCTCCAGGCGAGAGAGGGCCCTACCGGGAGAGGGCTTCTTGGTTGGGATTGGAGCCACTACGTGAGCTATGCTCGGAGAATCGGCATCCTATTCCCCGATTCTCTCGCGGGCATTGTCATTTTGGTGCTTAGTGCGGAGCACATAGAATTAGAACAATGATCTGGAGGGAAAGGTCCCGTGCATTTTCATCGCTTTGGAACAATAGGGCATACATGTGGACATCGATGGTCCCAATGGGACTGTACTGCTGGTGACGGTTTACTGTAAGTAAAGAGGCAGGAAAACATTACTTGCAAAGTAGAATGTGCAACACTATAGACCTTTTCCACAGGGGCGCCGCCATCTTGAATTGCCGTCACTTCCAGTATGGGCGACGACAAAATAGTAAAACGTTTCAACCTGTAACCAGTAAAAAAATAGAGCGGAGCCAAAACGAGAATGTGTGACGGTTAGGCTTATATCCTAAATGTGTTCTATTGGCGTGGCGACGGCAAAGTAATGTTTTCGCCCATACTGGAAGTGACGACAATTCAAGATGGCGGCGCCCTTGTGGAAAAGGTCTATAAAGAGAAAGAAAAAAAAAAAGGTTTTTTGTTTACAACGTGCAAAGAAACGAAAGCGATAGCTGTAGCAGGGTCGCGCAATGCAGGTGGAATGGTGCCGTCGCGTACCTTAGGACGAAAGTGCGACGTGGTTAATTCCTTACCATATTATAGTGCATAAGAGGAGGACAGGAGGGAACTGTGCAACAGGACAGCACTACTCACAACTGATTATTTACTGCTTGTAGTATCATGAAAGAGTTGAATGAAGTGAATTAAGCGGATAGAGGTGATGAATCACTGAAAAAAGAAAAATAAATGCTAAAAGATAAAGAAGAAATTAACAAAAAAAGTTAAAGGGAAGAAAGTAAAAAAATTAAATAGAAAAAAAAACAACACAGTGCCCACAAGATTTTTGAAAATTCTACATAATGCCATTCTTTTTGAGACAGTGCTGCAGAAGGTGCGCTTATGCTTACGCATCTACTGTATTTACTCAAATATAGGTCAATGCTTTTACATTACATTTTACATGCTTTTACATTTTTTTTTGTGTGTGTGTGTGTGTGAATCTTTGTTATTTTGGAATAGGTAATGGTCCTTTTGTTATATTTTGGGGGAGATTGCTGAGTTATCTTTGTGAATCGGCATGAAGGCCGTCCATAGCGCTACTTTGGAATTACAGGGTTTGGCGTTTGGACTGTTTAGAGGTTGTCCCTTTGTGTTGGTAGTGACTGTCTGGAGGGTTTGGCGGTTGAACTGGTAGAGTTGCCCCTTTGTGTTGGTGGTGGGCTGTTTGTGGACTATATGAGGAGGAGGACTAAATAAACCTGGTAGCTGAGTTTGAGACGTCGTCCTGTCCCGTTCTGTTTCTTTGACTTTTATGTTCTTTTCTACCCCAGTCTCAGGTATATTCAACATGGTATTGGAATATAGGTTGATTTTTTTTTTTTTGAAGAACAGAGGAAAGAACAGAGGACCACCTGTATTTTAAATTTTTACCTATGCGCTTCAAGTTGTGAGATAACCTGTAATCGTGACCGAAAAATTTCAACCTACATTCGTGACCAAATTTTGTGACCCTACCGAGCGCATGGTGCTATGGAGTCACAGAGTTGGAGTCGCCGTAGAGCCACACCGCTTCTTGTCTCAGAGAGCTTTTGGTGCACGAAAACAACCGAAACAGCAGCAGCCGGTGGCCCGCCTGCCATGGCATCCCCTCGCGCGCACCCTCTTTGGGCGTCGTGTTTCTCAAGCATGCCCCTCCCCATGCGAGGGGGGAAGGGGAGGAAAGGGACGCAATGCGCCTTGCCCCCTCCTTTCCCCTCCCTCGCGGATGCGCAACAAAAGAAAATACGGAGGTTACTTTCGCTTGTTGCTCACGGCGGCTAGCGCATTGCTCACGGCGACTCGCAGCATTGCTAGCACCTTTGTATTTGGTCTTTCGTTGCTTCGCCCATCTCCACCTTCTTTTGTCTCTTGTTGACGTCACCTTGCAACGGTGTCAGTGAGGTATTGTTGCGAATATGTGAGGATGTTTACGAAGCTGATGAAGCTTCCAACTACGATGACATGGCCGCAAGTTCTGATGATGATTAAGTTTTTGGCATTGCGCTGTGATTTAGCTAAGAACGCTGTAAATAAAGGTGTTTCTTTTTGTTCTTTTTCCTAAACTTTTCTCTATTCTTTAACGGGGCACTGACACCCCAAAGGTTTATTTTTTTTTTATTGTCTAAAACGATGCAAGTTGTAGCCATAAACACGCAAAAAACAATGCATTGCGAAAAAAAACTTCCCCGCGCGGGCATGCGCCTTTTTTTTTTTGCCGTTTATATCTCCCGCCGCTCACTTCCTTGCTTCTTTTGATCGGTGACGTCAAAAATCAGGAAATTTAGAAGCTTTGTAGGCGACATTTCTATAACATTTAATAACGGCAATCGTAAAACATGTTTTTTAACGCAATTGCGAAATTTTCGAAATTTTTGAAATCTTTTTGAAATATCGAAAATCAGAGTTTGGTGTGATGTCGCTTCCTGGATTTCTATCCTCCATCGGAAAACTTGGCGGCGCTCGAGCAGAGGATGATCGGCGAGACGGGGAAGAAACCGGTTTTCTCCCGCGCCGGCACCCTTCTATCCCACCTGCTCACCTCCTCCTCGCTTTGGGTCGCAGTGGCAACGGCGCTTTGCTTCATAGCGTGGAGCGGAGGTGCGAAAGAAAGTCGAGTCACAGGAGACCGCAAAATGTGACTCACTGCACTGGCACGGATCACGCGGGAACTTCAAATTCGGCATTTGGAAATTGTTTTTTTTTAATTCACAAGTACTGAATTCCCCAAGTTTCGAATTTTGAGGGTAATGTCCCGGCATCGTTTTCAATTGTTTCGGATAATAAAAAAAAATATGATTTTGATGTGCTCCTTTAAGAGGGGGCGCACCTCAGAGCCCCATAGAGAATACATGAGGTTTTTCACCATATTAAAAAAATTCTCACATAATAACGGCTGCGCAGATCTTCTTGAAAATTTCGGCTTTAAAGACATTGAGTCATTATCGAGACACTAAGCGCAACAAATGTTTCATCATAAATTTAATTATATTCTTTAAAAAATCATGAAAATGGTCAAAATCGGCTAATTCGGCACTCTTGCGTTCAAAGCGAATTTACAAAATTATCTAAACTCAAACATAAGAAGTATTGCGCTTAATGTCTTCTAAATTTATTACGGAATCGAATAATATTCAAACTATTCATGCAAGTCGATTTGTTCCGTAACTACAGCAAATATAAAGAACCAAGGTGTCGGTGCTTGTTTTCGTCGTTTTTAAGGTACCTCTCTCTCCCGTGCGGTGGCGCTCGCTGTCCACGAAATGCGAAATCGTCCGTTCGGAGATCGGCCGGATCGGCACTGTGCGAGGTGTTCTTCCGCGGCCGTATCCTGTTTCATTCTGCACGCCGAGGCGTCAGTGTCTGTGTCTTGCTTTCCTGGTTCTCGCTGGGTAGGTCTCAGTGTTTTCGCAAGTGGCAAATTCACCTTGGAGCTATGGGTCGAAGACAACCGTCCTGTGGCAAGCGGACTACGAGGTGTTCCACAACCTCGCGGTCCGTCAACGCGTTGTGCTTGTTTCTACTTTTTTTTTTCTTTTAAAAACGGGTTTTTTTTTTGTTGTTTTTTTGACGCAGTTTTATTTTGTTATCCTTCACACAAACGTCCTTCGGCCTTGGGGTCGTGGAAATCGGGGATGAAGCGTGCACAGAGTAGATCGTTGTTTGCCTCCTTTTTATTTTTCACGGACGTCTTGTGACCTCCGTACGGTTCGTGGTCACCGCAATCTAACGCGGGGAAAAACGGGTCGCCTGCTCTGTAGTCAGGGTATTCCTAGGGGAGGGTGATAACTCGCTGTTCTTCTGGAAATTCACATATCACCCAAAAAGGTGACATGGGTAATGATTACGGTATGTTTTTTCCGGTGTTTATTTTTGAGCAAAAATCGGTGCATGTTTTTCGGTGCTTATTTTTTAATCACCAGTGTATTATGGGTTGAACGTCTTGTGATGACGCTAAAAAGCGTTGATAACCAAAGAAAAATGCAATTGGACAAGAACATTTCAAATTTCCAATTCTATTCACATATCCATTACGCTCTTCTTGTGGGAGCATCTATCCTGACGAAAAATGCCTAAGTCATTGAGCTGTGAACGCATGCTCAGTGTACAATCTTTCGGCCTAGAGAGGTATTGCGCACGCTCGAACGCGCTTCACAGCCCAGTAGACGAAGTTGGTGGCACCCAGAAGGCGAGTTTTTGAATGGTCTGTAGCAGGCAAAAGAAACAAATAACAATCAACGCATATCAGCTCTTCAAGCGAAGAGGCGCGTTTCTAAGGTCAATGGTTCCGGACGGCACTAATGTTGTTGGCGTTGTCGTAAGATGACGTCAGTTCATACAAGCTGACGTCATCTTACGTGATCATGTGACACAAACACGTCATCTTACATGATCTCGTTACACGAAATGACGTCATCTTACGTGATCACGCTGCACGAAATGACGCCATCTTACGTGACCACGTAACACGTCATCTTGTAAGTCAACCTCTCCCCACAGCAGCGCGCTCCGCGCTTTCCGGGCCCGTGCAGTGCTGTAGTCGAAAGCAAGCTCCCTATGGCAAGCGAAAGCTTCTGGAGTCTCACATTGAGAATACTCGCAAGCGACCGTCTGTGGAAGCTTCGCACGTTGAGGTTTTTGTTGAGATCGAGCCATCGTGTTCCATTAACTATAGTTTAAGTTATCGTTCAATAAAGCCCTAAAAAATATAAATGTAGTTGGTGTAGACATCAAGATCTAATCAAAAATGTGGTTTGACGTCGTTTAATTAACGTGTATACCATAATATCCCGAGTCATCGCCCACCCCCCAACCGCCTGAAATTTGTTAAAAAAGTGGGGTGGGCCATGTCTCGGTGGGTGAGCACAAA